GTGATGTCAAATTATTCCTAATAACCTCAATCTTTTGTAACTCAGCAACTCATTCACAGATAATTTCCTGTGAGTCATTGACTCATTTCAACTTCTTGGGATCTTGATGGTCTGGCAGTACGAATAATTTTGCTGATGATGAATAATAATTTTCAGGGTGCTTTAAATTGCTCCAGGACACTCTGGGTGCGTCATCCTACTGTACTTCTTTGAGTTTCAGTTTATGGCTCCCTAGCTTAAACACAAGCACTTCATCATTTCTCAGTTTCGCTGCATGTCTCCCTTTAAAAACAAAGCAAAACCAAAAAACATCTTTGCAGTTATTTCTGCGAGTTTGATTTACAGTCCTGCTTCCTGTACATTGACGGAGGCAGACTGGCAGTTAGCGATGCATTTTGTTTCTCTTCTGAAGATGACATCATCCCTGTGCTTGTGTTGACATCGCACGGAGCAGCCTCACATTAGCGTCTGTCAAGGTGACTGCACGTCCAAGACTTGCGTTAAATTTCTGCTCCGTAGCAAGTCACCAGCTTGTGAAGGGGTTGTGGTGGTGGTGGGGGGGCACAAATGTGCATGTGTTTGAAGGAGCAGGAGGCGTGTATTAGGGGAGGGGAGAAGGGGTATTGTCCTGCCTCCATGCCCTCCGCAGGCAACTGAGGATCTCATTTGACAGCTTCAAGGTGGAACGTGGAAAGACCAAAACAAGAGCCGTAGCCCCCCCACCCCCTTTTTCCCTTTTTTTTTTTTTTTTTTAAACCCCCTCCCTTTTTTATACGGGGGAGAGAAAACCAATCCGTCTCATCGTCCTGTGGTGGCTGGGTTTGGCTCTTTGTCAGTGCAGGGGGGGGGGTAGTAGACAGGCAGTGTGAATGCATATCATGACCACAATAGAGCAAACGAGCACAGTTCAGCCATGAAAGCCCAGCGGGAGAGGCTGAGAATTCCAGGGCTGACGCTAGAGTGAGTATTTTCCTCCGTTATCCTACCCAGGAGACGGCTCCTCTGAAGTATGTAGCTTGATCCATCTCTGTGTCTTATTTGTTGCTGTCTTTTACTGTTGCTTTATGCTGTTTGCTGTGTTAGCATTAGCAGCAGCAGCACCTGCAGCAGGAAGTCTAAAGCCAGATCTTTAACAGCTAGGTAACAGCAGCTTACATGTGCTCGCGTGTCTGTGTTTATGTTCGTGTTCACAGATTTATGTTATCATGCACGGGCATGTGATGGACAGATACTGTAACGTGCCACGAAAAAGGAGTGCCGCAACTGCACAATATGTTTTACTTGCTGGTGTGACACAAGCAAACAGTGCACACGTAGAAAGCATTCACAGAGCAACACCTATCAAGAGTGTTGAGACGATGTTTGTTAGATGAAGCAGTGAAGCGTTGAAGGCTGTGTGGTTTAAATGTCAGTTTCCGCTTTTATCACAGCTCGTCATTGGTTTGATTTCATACACTTTTTATTTAGGTCAACAAGGCATTTGTTATGGTTCCCTCCATTTGAGGATTTAAAATCTGCATTTCAGGATACATTTTTACAGTGTTAGTCATCCATCAAACTAGACTTTTCTAAAATGTTTGGAATGGAATTTAGCAGATAATGATTGTATAATATATTATGTCATATTTTAAAAATCTCCAAGCAAACATCGCCCACTAATTATATTTGCTGTGATACTCTTGTGATGTCGGGGCATACCAAATTGTGGTTCTGAATAAGGTTGGTGATATACCAATGATATAATTTTTCACATTGGCAGCGAATCCCAACAAAAGTGTTAAACTGAATTTCCTCTCCAGTGTTTCCCAAAGATTTAAACTGTAGTGATGGAAGGTAGACAGGAGTGCATGAAAGGAAGTGCTTTTAAAAAATAAATAATACCTGATATAATTTGTCACAAACACTAGAGAGGCAGATACTGAGTATTAAGTAAGTTCCTCGTTCAATGGATGGATTACAACTCCACTGTTTTGGACTGCAGCTGATAAAAATAGTTGCTGTTCTGCTCTTTCGGTGTAGCAGGTCCAATTCTCTGCTTGGTGCAGGTGCTTGTTAGACCCTGCAGCAGGTCTTCAGACCAAAACAAGGTCTGCTGTTGCAAGCTGCAATCCAGTACAGTTTGAGTACATCGAGACTGTGGGATGACAGACTCAGGTCCTTAATTTTGCTTAACTGCAGCTGGGTGGTTAGTGCTTGATGATATCCCTGTGCTGGTGGTGTTTCTGTAACATCGTAATAATGGTGGTCTATGATCAATATTACAGCTGACCAATGACATTGTCTCAGTATTCCGTTAGCATAAGCCAAGATTGTTTGCTAGTGCTATTTATAAAAAACACACACACACACACACGCACACACACACACACACACACACACACACACACACACACACACACACACAAACCAATCACTAGCAAGCCAAATTAAGTAATGTAGACTTTTTTCCTTTTTTCCCTACATTGCAAAGCTATTCCAACATGATTGGTCAGTTGCAATTTTGATCCCGATACCAAGATTATTATGATAATGCAGGTACAACAGCAACATGAGGATATCAGATGCAACATGGTTAGCAGTGATGAACTTTCAGAATAAGAGCAAGGGGATTGTCCAGTTGTAAATGGTTATTATTGTTTTGGACAATTCTATTGTTTTGAAAAATATACAAATAAATAATAAATTCAGACTATATTGTGCAAAAGGCACATATCTGGGAGCTAACTAACTTGGATAATTAATACATGTGTTACTGATTCAAAGTATCTACAGTTCACATGTCGTGGTTCTTGGGCAATATGAATGAAGTCTTAATGGTTGTGATGAAATGATTAGTGGTTTTAAGCTTAGCAGGGAAATGTCACTGTAAAAACCACATGGAGAGTTCTGGTTGTACCAGTCATCAGAAGAGTCTGTCGTAAAACATTCTCACCTTTACAGGACCAAATATTCTGCAGAGGAGACAGTTATGTTGAAAAATGACTCGATACACGAGGCCACATAGACTACAGTAGAGAAAGTGAAAGTCATTCTGTATGGGCTGACCAACAGGAGATTCACCGTCTCTAAAATCAGTTAAGACTGGTTAATCTATAACTGCTTTTATGAGCATTTTAGCGAACGCACATGATTGACATGTTTTGTTTTAGTCTGAATAGTCTACAAGGTCAGACATCCCCAATGTTAAACGAAAACTGGCGAACTAGACAAATGCCTCGGAGACCTGCTGTTCAAACACAACTTAAGTTCATTTGACAGGGATCATTTACTCTTCATGATGCTGCTGTTTTCATCTGGGCATGTGTCTGAGTTGTGGGGGTTTTGTCTTTGTGTGCGTGAGTGTGAGAGAGAGTGATAAAAGACAACTATTCACTAGAGTCCATTTAACTTGCAGCCTCACTCCCAGAAGCTTGAGCCCTACTCCCACTAGCCCTTGCAGTCCGTGCAGCCCACTGCACGCTTTTCATTTCTGGAGGTAAGCAAGAGTTCTTCAACCATGGATGTTTTGTTTTGAAGGGCCTGTTGGTGCATGTTACCTTGTCTTCACCTGTCATATGGCTCAAGCGCGACAACAAAATCATCTGCCATTGAAATGACAGTGAAAGGGGAGGACGTGATACTTATATAATGTTGATAATGTCACCCCTTCCCCCATCTTGTCCCTCTCTGTTCTGAGGTTTAGGCTTCTCTTTCATGTGCTAAGTAGGATTTGTGGCATTTGCAATACATCAAAGTTAATTATGGTCTCAATCTGTGTGAATCCCAGGCTTGTTTCATTTAGGATTGAAGAGTATTCAAAACAGTAAAAGCTGGTAATGGTTCAACATCAGGGCTTATTGGTTAGATCTCAAATAGTTTATAATTAGATTTTAAATGATGCGTGTCACTCTGTCCTCTCTCCGTTCTCCACATTATACCTAGCCAGATGCTTTAAAACTGCGATTGTTCATGGGCCAACTATGTGTGCTTCACTTTGAAATGACAGAGTCGGGTTGAAGCCATCTTGCTGGTGAGGTCATGTTTGTATAACTACAGGTGAGCTGATCAGGCAGTCTGCACACATGGCACGAAAGCACTAGATGAGATCTTTGTGTCCTTGTGTCCTCTCTACAGTCTGTGAGTCTGTACAGTTTTAGCGAAAGCAGGTTTTTTTGCCTCCTATATTAAGTTTAGACAAACATTCTGCAGCATATTCTTTCACCATTGGCTCACTTTGAGTGAACAGTCTTAGAGTCAGTTCATTAAACATATATGTTTTACTAATATGAAGAGTGCCACGGTCTTCTGTCAGGTTTATTCAGCCTGAATCTAAAGCACACGTGCCAAGAAAAATGGGTGGAATCAAACTTGGAATGAATTTTTCTGCAGCTCATTCAAAACGCTCAATTCTGAGAATTTTCTGTATCAATGAATAGCATGAAAACACCCACCCATTTCACCTCTGGTCTCCTCTTGTTCCTGCTCAGCTTTCATAGAGAGTCAAGTGGAGCAGGTATTTAAGTGAGTCAGCTCCATACAAGAATGTAGAAAGGTTTTATTTTTATATATATTTATTGACATTTTCAGATTTTATTCATGTGCCAGTGGACATGGTCACAGTTAAGAAGCCAAATCAGAACACTTGTGGTGATCCTATAGGACCATTACATAGCAACACATGTACCATCATAATGTATATCAATATATATATCAACTGTTTTGTTTTTTTTTGTTTTTTGTTTTTGTTTTTTTGTTTTTGTTTTGTTTTTTGGATCTTTAGCCATCAGAATTGTTGTCTGAAGGACAAGGAAGATGCCTAGCGGATTTACTTTACCAAGTGGATCATCATGCCCTTGCCATATTGGTCCATTTGATTGACATTTATTTTAATTATGTATTTTTTTTATTTTCAGTTGTTACAGACGGGACTGAGGGATAGGACAGGGAAAAAGAAAGAAAGAGAGAGAGAGGGAGAGAAAGAAAAATAGAGGGGAGAAGAGATGGTGGGAAGGGGAAAGAAAGAAAATGTTTTGTTTCATGTTTTTTGCAATTTCATATTTAGATGGACAGTCGTGACCTGCCTTAGTGCTGATTAAAATGTGATTTTAGGTGCTTTTGAGAAATTAAACCTTTCATTTGCTGACATTTAATAAGAGATGTATAAATTTAAAGGCTGCACAGCAGTGTCTGAATGCGATATTATCTGGCAAGAGTTGCAAAATCTGTCTTTGAATATTAGTCCCAGTATTAGTTGAGCCATGTTCAACTTCTTTGCCTGACAACATAGTTGTTTGCCAGATCTCTGAGTCAGCAACACTGCTGCGTCAACACTGGCCTCAAATCCTTGAGGGCACTGGGGCTTTTCACGCAGTGCTAAAGATGGTGAATCCGGCCTTAAAAGATATTGACTCCATGGTCTGAAAACTGCAGAGTATTTGCTCTTTAAGAGATATGAAGATTTAGACTATATGGTCTAATAAAGTAAAATCAGAGATATTGCTGGTTGAACTGTTAACCCACTGGAACCTGCACTTACTAACATTTTCTGAAAATGTTTTTTTTTGGTTTAAAGTTACCCTATGGAGTAATTTACCGCCATTAGTGTTAATATGGTCACCATTAGATTAATAGAATCCAACATACAGGCAATTCACACGAGTCAGTGTTCTGACTCCTCTAAATCCTCAGTTTCAGGCTGACTTATTCTTAGTCTTGGCTTTTCATGTTCTCAGAGACTGTGACATGCCAAATACAGTGATCTTACAGTGAGCGCTTCTCTTACCTGCTGTTCAGATGTTGCTTTTACAAGGGGCAGCCAATCAAAAGAATTTTAAAATGACTAATTTTAGCCGTTGGATGAACTGACGAGCTTACCCAAGGACCCGCTTTAACATAAACAAAGATAGTTTCCATATTAGTTTTAAACTGAGTAATTCAGTGCTATTATAGAAAGAGTGAAATAGTAATTATAAATATATGGACCTAGAAATGAATACAATAGGTTCCCTTTAATGGTTTTGATTCCTTCTTTTAAGAGCTACTAGAAAAAGAGGCACAGCAACCCTGATTTTTCTACTTGTGATGTCAGCACAAGCAGTGACCTCCCTATTCATGCTGCTCTATGCAAGTTTGACTTTGAACCATCTGAACTGCCATTTCTAATGTGGAACACAGAAACGGAGCAGGGCCATAATTAGAGTGAAGGCTGTCACGCTGGCCTGTAGGGAGAAGGACTGAGCCACTCTGACAGAATACACACACAAACTCAGGTTTTACACGGATAAAAATAACTTCTGATGACGACACAGTCGCCAAAGATTGTGCATGTGAAGTAGCAGTGGTTAGGTGCCAGTCTTTGTTGGTTTTGCATTACATCTCTCTTCCTTAGCTTTTGAATCCCTTCCAGACAGCATACTTGGCAAGTTATTAGACTCATTGCTCATTGCTTCCTGATGGTCTTCAGGTCTGACCTGGAACTTCCTCAGTGAGGATTGCAGCCTGTCTTTGAACTGCTTTGTTGTCCTGGTTGAAGAATGATATACTATCTTAATCTCACTGGCTGTAGCAAGATTTTATAGTTAGAAATCTAGGTGTAATAATGCTTTACATAACTGAAATAAATAACTAAACAAATATACAAATAGTTAACCAAATAACTTACGCTCTTATTAAATGTGCAATATTTTTGAGACATTTATTCAAGTGTCAACTCTGATTTATCAGCAAAAACAGACATGTCCTCTTTATTAAAATGCAAGTTACTCTTAATCAATCTTCTAAGGTACATTAGTCTTTGTGTGCATGTGCTCACATGAGGTTCACATCTTTTTTACAACTTGAAGCTCAGATGAGAAAGGACAGATGTTTTTATGTTGGATTGTGAAAGTGCCATCTTCAGTATACTGACTGTAAACTGTGCATGTGATTGTGGGACTCTTATCGTTGCTCTGGAGCTGTAAAGTGTGTTTTCAGGGCTGAACTCTGCTCTTCCCTGTGTAGAATTATCACTGAATAAAACTACTTTGGGAGAAGCTTTTAATGGTTCCTCTTGTTTGAGATATTGTTTTGTTTGGAGACCTGACAGCTACTTCAGAGAATTTGCCTGCATGCTTTGCACGTTACAGGCTGCGGTGATCAGCTGACCTGAACTCTCACACATACGCGCAGCACTCAGAAGTTACATTCATCACTGAACTGACGGAGCGAATTGTTTGCATGTGAATTCCCAAGTTTAGCTCTGAGATTTTATTTATTTTGCTCGCCTGAAACATCAGACTTATAAAGCTTGCCATTGTTTTTTATTCATATTTTTTTGAACATTGTAAAGTTTGATGATTTCCCAGTATGCATTGTGTTTAGCTACTTATCTTTTTACATAGTAAAAAAAAATGAGTCATAGATCAAAGGTGATGTAGTTAAGGTGAAGCACCAATAAATGAATGAGGTAAGACTGTCTATGGAGCGAAGAATTTATGCAATAGCAGAAGAATCCATTGAGAAGCACAGCGTTTCAATTTCAAATAGGTCCTGCTTAATACTGACCCACCAGACTTTTGGAGGGTTGCCAGTTTGTGAACGTAGCGAATGCCCAGCAGCATCTGCTGATGATGCATTACCCCTCTGTCTCACAACCCCCCTTCACAGGATGTGAAGTGGTAGATGCCTGTTACATGATATGAAGCATGTTGAGCGCAGGGAGGACGGTGAGTGTTTGGGATACGGAACGCAATCGCAGTGAGAAGGGAAAACACAAAGTCAGCTGGTATTAGATGTCATATACCTGCAACAGTCGAGGCTGTCAGCACCTGACCTGGATCACACACTGTGTGCCGTTCAGGATCCTCCCTGGATTACTTTTTGTTTGAGGACAGAGGAGGACAACGTGTCCTCCCTGCTAGTGTGTTTATGCCGCAGCTGCCTGCAGATGTGCCTGTGCAGAGGAAGTTTGGACCTAAGGAGAGTACTTGTCAAGACTGCTCCAGAGGTCACCACCTCTTGAACTCTGATAGCCATCGGTTCTGCTCATCAAGTCTTCAGAAGCCTCCTATCCATCTCCCTCTTTGGCATGATTTGGACACAATGTCGGATTCTAGTTTGTGGACAGTTCTGTCCAACTTTAACATGCCACATTTCTTCAGTGGAGCTCGCCTGCGTCGGTCCCAAAGGTAACATCTAAAGATTGAAGAAACTTGCTACTTTTTTTTTGTACTGTGCTGCTTTTTAGTTAGGGTCCTTCAAATAATGTAGTCAGGCTCAGATATGCGTCTTTACGGAGCAAAACGTTTTATTTTCTACCAAATGGATTTACATGCACAGTTTCTGGAGCTTTGAGTGGCAGCAGGGACCGTGTTTACAGTAGTAGGTGTATGAGGCCAACATGAATAAGAAGCTGGGTGTTGCCGTCTTGCCTGTTGTGCGTTATTTGCTTTGTGCAGTTGAATGTGTTGTTGAGGTAGTCTCAGGTTTCCCACATGGATCATTCATATTAATTTACAGTGAGAATGTGACAATTGGGATGGTTGTTTAATTGTTTGCTGTTGATCTTGTTTCAGTATGTGTCCATTGCCAATAAAATGTGTATTATTCTGAAAAGTTGTATAAAGTCCAGCTCCAGAAGACATGCTTTGATGTCGGTTATTAGTTGACATGTTAAAGACTGACTGAATTAAAAATGTTTTGCTGGTTTATGGGATTTGGTGTGTGTAGACACTGGTTTATTGCTAAGTCACTTGATCCCTTTTTTCCCCTCATATACAGTATGACATGGCTACAGTACTGGTGAAGCTCATATACTGAAATTTATTTTTAATCCATGTCCTGACCTATTTTGCAGTGCAGAATAGCTTAACATGAGAGACTGGCAGTTTTTCTGGACATCTTGCATTATTCATAAATGTGTTTGTCTTTTTCCCCCCACTGTTCGTGACAAGTTACCCGTTTATTCACAAATATTATTAAATAATTAATGTAATGTAGATATTAAGATTTTTATATACCAGTAAATCTTTGACCTGAGATGAGCTGGAATGGATTTCCATTTATATATTTTTTTCATTACTTATAGCATTGGTAATGAGGAAAAAAGGGAAGGAGGATAAAGTAAGCTGTTTTCTGTAATATTTAATTTATGCCAAATTGACATGAGGTACAAAGTAAATTATGTCATAAACCAAATGTGAAAATATATATTTTTAAAAAAGGTGCAGATACAACTGGGATTAGTTTAAAGGAAACAGCTGCCTTCAAAAATGAGCAGCTAGGCTTTTTACCCAAGCAGCAAGTATTTAAATACTATTAATAGAGTGGTGTGTGTCGTATGTCTGACTTTGAATTTGGGTTTGTCAGCACAGAGTTGCAATTTGTGTCATTGCGCTTTGTCAGCTCACCTGACAGCTGTGACAGGGGAGCAAAACTCGCGGAAGTTAAAAAGATTAAACATGGCTTTTTGTTGACATGGGTCAGGATGAGACATTTCAGATTTATCTGGAATCTAAGGAAATCAAAGGGCTTTATCTATTTTTGCCTCTTCCTGTGTCCCGAATAAGTAACCAAGCTGAATTCTAAGAAATTGCTTCTGACAGATTGAAACTACTGTGTGTTTGAGTAATGTAGGTTACTGTAAAAGGAGTCTTAAAAGTAAGGTAAAAATAAAATGAGCTCTGCTGTGAATTCATTTTATGAGCACCCTTAGAAAGTATTTTTAGTGGTTTAAAAGAGAAATTTGTAGTAGTGCTTGTGCGTAATCCAACAATGGTTTGCTGATCCGGACAAGTTTGCATAATACTGAGACTTTTCAAATAGTTATGGATCCATTCCAGGAATCTCACACATCTGCAGTACAGCATAAATACTGGCCTACTTTCTCACTATCATCTTTGCCCAGGGCTTCTTTATCCCCCCCTTTAAAGCTTCACTATACCAACATGATTTCCCCCCCTCACTGTGGCCACAGAGGGGCTTCTACCAAAGCTCAGCTTAACATCAAATGTGATGAAGATGAACTGCATGCTGTCACAAATTGTGGAAGTCTTTTTGTGAAGTAATCCAGGAGCAGTTGTTTAAATCTCTCAATGAGTGGCAGTCAGGAGTCATGAAGGTACAAACACTGGGGTGGGCAATGTGAAGGTGAAACAACAAGAAGCTTGATTGGGCGACAGTGTGGCATTCACTTGGCTGAATGCTCGTAGAGGGTATAAATAGATGTCATTAAATTTGATCCTCTACGAGAACCTGTGTACCAGATATTATTCACTCAGTCCCCATCATGATAAATGATTAATGGAACATGTCCACAGTCATGATTCGCTCTAGAAACCAGAGTAAACAAGGATGACTGGGATTTCAGTCAAAATCGGATTTCCCTTCTGATGTAGGGAGATAAACTTGGATTTTTGAGTGCCAGTGGGGTAGCAATATAACTACAAGAAGCTACAAGCAGCTTATGATGCTACACTGCTTTGTTTCCTGTTTTTTGTCAGAGCAGGTGTTTCCTGGGCTTTAAAAGGTGAAGAAGAAAGTTGGCCAAAGGGCATTCAAAATTGTCAATACATCGGCTCTGACTTTGGTTCATGTTATCCTCCATATGAGTTTATGAAACCGGGGAAATTCTTTTAGAGGGGTCGCTTTAATTGAACGTGTTTTCCGCTGTGATAGAAAACTATTACATTTGGAACATCTGTGTTTTACGAGGCACATAATATTGAAGTTGAAATAAATTGCGTATACATTGGTGCTTCATTGGATATCCAAAAGGGGGGGAAAAAAAGAACATTTGCAGCGCTATTTTAAACAACTTCCTGTGAGGTTGCTGCATGCCCCTGCATCTATGATTTCAGCTTTGATGCTACTCTGCTAAATGTGCTAACAGTGCTGAAAGTATTGTAAACAACAGGATGGAAGCCAGTTAGCTGGAGGAAGAAAAAAAACAAACCAAAACAGAAACCACTTTTATGACACATCATTCCCTACCAGCACAACATATGAATAGACATTGAAACTATGATGGCTGTTATATTCAGGTAAAAACTGCTACCTGTGGTGTTTCTGTGGTGTCAATAAAATGTAAAACTGTATCCAAGCATGTGAGTGAGCAAGCATATTAATGTAACTATGTAGCTGACTGTTTTTTTGCACTTGAAAAGAGAGAAAATATGTTAACATTGTAATAACGATATCTTGCCAGGTCTGGTTAATTCAATTGGCAATGAAGTCAGTGCTACAATGTAGCAAAATGTTGGTTAATGTGGCTACAACAGCATTATTAAAATAGAAACACTGTAGCCAAAACTGCTACGCTTTTAAATTGAAATAAATGAATATTATTAACTTAGATTGTGACTATAACAGATGGCTTTAAAAAGAGTGACCCTTTGTGCACCAATCTTACTGTGATACACCCACAGGTACAACTGAAGGTTCTTATCTACATCTGATACTATGATGTCACCGTGTTTCTTACCAGCCACCTACCCACAATGACCTTTGTACCTTTTATTCACCTTGATAAAAGCAACATATTATTTTAACATGGCATCTAATTTGTGCCCATAAACTTGTGCCTGATATATTCAGATGTTGTTTGGTAACTACCGAGCAGCACCTGAGCATTGTGGAAGACACATAAATTAGTTATTTTTAAGTATATATCAGTTTGAGTGCTTTAAATGTTTATTTCTTTAAAGGAAGAAGGCTCCTGTGCGTTCTTTCAGTACTTTTTCTTTCAGTTGCTTAAGTCTGCCCAAAGTTAATCTGGGAAAATCATGTCCCATCAAGTCCAACTACTTCATTTAGCACTGAGCCTCTTTAAAGAAATGTAAAGTTAGTGGAAGATATTGTAGCAACCTCAGGAGGCATCTGCAAAGTGAGCACAAAAAGATTAATGGGACTATAAATGCTGGAATGAATTTAGTGGTGATTTGTTGCGTTTATTGTAGCTGTACAGTTAGATTACAATTTCTGTGGATGTGTGGCGTAGTTTCCAGTGTTTGTTTGAGTGACAGCATTGTTTAGATAGCAGTAACCAACATTTGGACTGCAGTTAATCACCTGCAGTCTGTGTGCATCTTCAGTGGCTGTTAAATGTTGAATACAGAAGCATTCCCATAACCATGTGGATTGGTTTTATAAATCTACAATGCTTTGATACATTAGTCATTTATACAGATTTTTGTAGGAACTTTACAGTACATGGTAACTGTAATGGTGTAATTGTAACCAAGCAGTTGTGAGAGCCTGATAGTGAAGACTAAATGACAGTTTATTGTTGGTAAATCTAGCTCCCAGTACTAAAATTTAACATTTACAGCGTTGCTCTCAAGTCGTAGTGGAGTTTTGTAATTGTCACTTTTTGGGCTGCAAAAATCACTCACACTTAAAAAAAAAAACACCTTCCAGTACAGGACTATGTTGCTGCTGGACAGCATTTCTAAGCCACATTACATTTTGTTATAAGGTATAAATATGGCCGTATCATCCTTAGCAGCGTTTCTGAAATCGTGTCTTTTGAGAGGACAGAGCATTGAGAGCTTATTGCAGCACATCAGCTGTGATAAAAGTTTCTTGTTTCTCTTTGCTGTTGCCGGTGTGACATTGAGAGCTCTGCAGTGGCACCTCTTTGAGTGGGTCTGCAGCGGTGTTAACGTAATCATGAGGGACGCCTGCTCACGCTGCACCACGCCATTGCAATTTGATCAATCTGTGCATTCACTGCAACACACAGGATGACACTGACTTCTCTCTGTAGCTCCAACATGTATGGCTGTTTCCTCTACTGCAGCAAAGTACTTCACAACATTTCCATGCCAGTTGTCTTATTTCTCCCTCAAAACATTTTCTCTCCTTCAGTAAAGAAAAAAATGGAGGAGAAATGTGTTTGTAGGAAAATATGAAATAACATTTGAAAATTCAGTTGGAAATGGTTCACATCTCTGAGGAGGTTATGTAACAGGGTGTCATTGAATGTCTGACCTTGAAGTGAATTCATGTTCTTCAGGCATTATGTGTTTCCACTGACAGCCTCTAATTTGAAATTATAAACCCAGCACGAACTTCATTGAACAGTGAAGGTACTTTTATACTGAAATATTTCATTTTTCCCTCAAGGTTAAAAGCTGCCCTTCCTTTATGAGTCACATGGTATTGGTCACAGTAGCTCCTCATGAGTCATAGTCCTGTATTAAATTGACCAACAAATATGGAAATATTATGAAGGCTGTGCAAAGAACCTGGTTTTTGTTGACTGAAAGATGATTTTATTGTTAAAGGTGTCTCTTATTTTAATGGCTGTTGGCTCGAGGACTGTAGCCTCCCTGTGGAGTATATTATGTTGAGGGCAAGCTTTGGCTTTGTAATTGATCTTTATGGCAGAAATACATGGCAAATACATTTATTTTTGAATAAGTGGAATGGATGTGTAGATTGATAGTAAAGTCAGACCTTTGGTGTCTGCAGGTACACTTTCAAGACAGTTTTAAGAATATTTTTTCCAAAAATATTGGTGACATTTAGGGTTTGTATGCCATCTACATATCCCTTTCAGACCTGGATCAATTTCCTCATGTTTCGAACTAAGAAGAGAAAATGTTTTGCAGAACAAAACTGATAGTATCACATATGTTCAACTAGAGCTGGGCGATATAAGATTTTTTCATATCACGATATGTTTTTTCATTTCAGGCGATAACGATATATATCACGATATAAGCAAAATAACTATATTTGTGAGATTTAAATGTGCCGTTGCTCACAAGTAAAATGTGAAATAATCAGCAGCTTGTTTTGATTTAAATATTTATTTCCCATAATAAGTTCAACAGGGTAGATGTACTTAAGGAACATGAGACTTTTTCAGATAAATAAAGGCAAATATTGCAAACTACACAAAAGGCAGCCACTAAAGCGTTTAAGTTTCAAAATAGAACAAACGAAACAGACTAAATTGTCAATTCCATTTAGAAACAAAATATTAATTCTAAAAATAAATCTTAGTTTGTTTTACAGAAGAACAGACAAAATTGACTAACTTTTGTCAATATCAAATAAACTGAGAACTCAAAGGAAATTCTCAATCTCTCCTTGTTGTATAGCTGAGCTTTTCAAACAGTTTTAACAGTTACTTTAGTCTGACAAAAGCCGAATGACGAATTAGCGCTTCCAGTCAGAGACTGAGCATGCACCGCTTTATTGCATTTCCAGACTTGCTTTCGGCACAATTTACATTGCACGCTACTCTGTTTTTTGTCAGACTTGAAATAGCCGAAATACCTTCACACTACGGAACTTCTATGGCTCTTCTGTTCGACAATCTCTCCGGCGTTGGAACCATCATCTGTTTTCTCTTCAGTAACCTTTGGTCACGCTCGGTTGATTTTTCTCTAGTCAGCACACTCATTTCCTCCATTACCCGGGCGGCACAGCGGCTTGGCACTTGTGCTTTACGTAACAAAATCACGTGACGTGACTCTTCTTCTTCTTCTTCTTCTTCTTCTTCCTCTTCCTCTTCCTCCTCGAGCGGTGAGGCCTATCGCAATAGTTACATTTTTCTATCCAGAAAAAGTTATTTCACAATACATATCGTTCTATGTTCAACGTTGCAAGAAAGAATTTTTGTTGTTTGTTGCTGACCTGTCTTAGCTCACTATTCTTGGCTGCTCTTCATATTTATACTTATCAAATCAAAATTTCAAAGCTTCATGCTGTGGGGTTTGCCTTCTTAGCTGGCAAAGAATTGATTCTAATTGCTATTGGATTCTTGCTTATATTCAAGCATTTCAAAATATTTAGTAACAGGTAAATTTTACTATTCAGTGTTTAATTATTCACATGCTGGATTCTGCAAGTCTGCAGTAAGTTTGTTTCAGAATCAGTATAATACCGCTAACATGCAGCCTTCATCATCTCTGTGTCTCTCAGCTCTCCTCGGCTAAATTCCAAACAATTAGAGTTAATTATAAGTAGTTATCTTAGGTATTTACTCACTGTCAGCCCCTTGTTGGCAAATCAAACTGGAAGTTCAAAATCTGAGTCAACACACTGACCTCTCGTGAAATAAAGAGTTCATGTTCTGTTTCACAAAGCTTGCTTCTCATGTCAGTGTACAAGATGGTGTGATGAAAGGCTCTTTGTGTAGTATCAAGTGAATAGTGCATCTCATATTGATTGAACAATCCTAGCACAATATTCATGCTGAAGTCCATGTATCAGTCGAGCTAACAAACAAAAGCGAGATGCTCGTGTCAGTGGTGAGGTCAGGATTTTGTTGATTACATTTCAAAACTACCTGCCTAAGGCTCTGAAGCATGCACTGTTATCTTTTAAATAACCCATAACCCTTTTTTATGTTATACCTCTATTTTCTGCTTCATGTGTCTTGTCAGTTTTACAGCCATGATTTTTCCTGACTAATATGGCTCTGTGGTTTCACAGCTGCAGAACGAGCAACAGAAAAAGCCTGATAGGAAGTGGCCAGCCTTCAGGTTTACCACGACCCCATTCCCCTCTCTCATCTCTCACAGGTAAATGCATGTCTGGCACATCTCCTAATGTATGAATGCTGTGGAACGGCCCCATTGCTGGAAACATATGCACTGGGTTCATAGAAGAGGAGCCATTAATACAATATGTTCTCCAACAGGAATGCAGTCTATTGTGTAACGCACAAAAAAAGGTTGAAGAACAACACAGGAAAGTTCATAGTACAGTCTGTGCACCAACAGATAATCTGTATCCACAGGATGCACTTTCTGGTACCCTCATACAGAAAAATCTGGTTAATCAGCACTGGGTACTGCTAACTGACTCTAAACCAAGATGAAGAACTTTTACTTAAAAAAAATAAAATAAAACACTGAAAAATACAGATTTTTATGTTGTGCACTTTATTGTCTGTGTCAGGTCTGTCCTGTCATGTTTGGGTAACAGTTTAACAGCACAGTGGCAAATTAAATGCAGTGATTATTTTGTGTGAGGAAGTGGTGGCCTGCAGACAGGAAATGCACAGGATTGGGGAGGGGGGGCAGCCCTCATTTACCATAGGGCGTTTTATTTCCTGCCATTGGTCAGGAAAAACAGAGTCTCAGTGTTTGGTCTGTATTTCAAGCTTACGAGAAAGCCCAGGCTCTAAAGATGGATTCAGACCCAGAAAGCACCTGTGTTCCTGCTAATGAAAGTATCCAGCTTTGGGATTACTTAACACTGTGGCTCAGACGTAGCATTAGTTCAAAAGGTAAGAAAAACACATTTTCAGTGCTGTCAGATAGCTAAGTGCATTGACATATATCCTGGTTATGTTAAATAATAAGATGGGTTTCTACAGAAATGTAATATTTTTCTATTTAGTGAAGTGTAGGAGAACAGATTTCTGTTCATGATCATGAATTTGTTCATAAAAGAAAAACTCAGACCATATTTTGTTCCTTTTGCAGAATATTGATTAAAAAAAAGCCACTTTAAACTGTACTTTAAGGAACTGTGATTAAAGCACTTAAATATGTAACATTCATGGCTTTCTATTATTCAGTGGCTCCATCGTTGTTCCTCGATAGGGAAAAGGCCCGTGTGTGTCAGCACATGAGGTGGTCGCATTGTGTTTAATTAGCTAGTTAGTCCCTGTCTTTGTGAAGAATGTTATTATGTCTGATTAATACGACACCATGGCTTTGTTTCTACATTATGTGTGTAGAAACGCAACTCCTTTCTTTAACATTATATAGATGATAAAAACAAGTAAGTCATGCGTATAATTTACAAATTAGTTTCTTTTTTTCTAAAGCAGGCAGACATTTATAGACCCAGTTTAAAAAGGAAAAAGAACTTGTGCATATGAGGAGTCGTATACAAAGCTCTCTTCTAAAGGCAATATTAACTAAGTTACATTTAATTAATTTAATACGGGAGTGAATGACTGCTATGGAATCTGAGAGGGGAAACAAAAGAGAATACATTTAGCCCATATATACAGTTGCATACATTGAATAATATTGTTTTTTCAGATGTTTTCTAAAAGTAAATAACAGTGTTGGAATTCTAAATTCACTAAAATTTCACTTTGTCTAAAGCATTTTGTGCGACTCACTCACTGAATTAGTTTTAATTCATTAAGCTCAGAGAACAATGCATTATTAATAGATGATGCAATGTTTTCAGCTCAGTGTAAACATGTATAGATAATATAGATATTATATCTTTTGTTTAAAAAATAATAATAATATAAAATACGTGACAAATGTGATGAACTCTGTATCCCTATTTTATCCAGTATTGCCACAAATACTGCTTTTACAGCCTCCAGCTTGACAGAGCAAGCGTGTTTTAAATGGTAGAAAAGAGATTAAGTCATATAATCTCTTTTCTACCAACGTGGTGTGGAGTCATCTCGGTCTTGGTTTCTTTTGAGAACTCTCCAACATTTGACAGATTTGTTTATGTTGATTTAGAGATGAAATATTTAGTTTGGAAACTGGTTCAGCACATCAACAGGAGAAAATATCAACTTTTTTTTAAAGAATCAGCAGTCCAGCTTCTTCAATATGAAAATGTTCTTTTTTGTGGCTATAACATATGTCCTCAGAATTTTGAGTGTTGGAAAAATCAATAAAATTATCTAAACATTGATAGATATCAGGAAAGCAATGGTTGTTTGCGCCTTAATCTATTTTCACTGAACTTTCTGTCATCCACCTAATTTTTGAACGACTTATTGAACTCTTATTAAACTCCCAGCTGTCATAGGGTAAGCGGTAGCGTATATCCTAGCCAGGTTACTGGTTCATAATGGAGCTTACACCGAGAGACAGATGGTTTCACATCGACACACATGACAAATTTAGAATTACCAGTTAACCCAATATGTATGTCTTTGGACTCTGGGAGGAAGCTTGAGTATCCAAAAGGAATCTAGAGACACACAGGGAGAACATCCAAACTCCAAACAAGACCTGATGCAACGATGCTGATGACTTAACTTTCCGTACAGTTTTGTGTATTGCAATTCATTTTTATCTTTTAAGGAATTCTGTTTCAGACATCCGTATTGTCTTGTTCATGTTTTTTGGCTCGCTTTTCATTTCCCTCTATAAAAGCACTGTGTCCTCTTTTCTCTTTTTCCCCCTTGTAGGAACAAGCCCACAAGACAGTCCTAGAAACTTCTCTCCTAGTGCCTCTGCTCATTTCTCGTTTGCACGAAGGTAACCTGACCAATTATTTTTTTTCCCGTCGTAAACAAATCAGTAAGTAAAGCTCATCGTGAGACAGATGCAAATTCTTTAAAAACAGATGTGAAGTCATTGAGTCATTAAAGAAGTCTTTTCTAAGCCAGCATATGTGTAAATATTCAGCTGCTCAGGTCTGTTTATACTTACAAATTCAGCATCAGGAACATTTATTTTACACCATTTGTCAACACGATATCATATAATTCTGTATTTCTCTATCCACAGTCATTGCCACAGAGCAGACAGGTAAACTCGTGTTAGGCTTCGATTTTTTGTGAAATATTTATTACCCCACATCTGTCTGAAGTACACTTTATCATTCACATGTCCTTCATTAGTGTGCCTCACAGTAAAGGGGACACATTATGTTCTTACCTTAAGTCTAAGTGCCAGATATACATATTAAATAAGGCTAAAATTTGGCAAAGTAAACAAATGCAAACAGAATCCCAGAGAGCCAAAAAGTCAGATCGAATGCTACTTGTTTTTTCCTACTTTGCAACCAGCTGTGTTTTCTCTCCCAAAACATTCTTTTGAGTTGTCCTTATTTTTACATATTTTTACAAATAGCCAGTGTTGCAAGGATGACGCTACAGTCATTTGGCAACAGTGGAGTAACTTTTTACTTGCTGTGTAACTTTTGGTATTTTTTTAGTAGGCGTTTTCCATCTCAGCTGGCTCGGGTACCAGGCCGATCTACTTGGTCTTAAATGGTTGTTAGGAGAAGAGAGAGAAGATGACACATGGTTCTAATTAATGTGGATCAGTTTTTTAATTAATGTTTGCTGTCAAGAGGATGAGGTGCTGCTCACAAGCACCAAGTGTTGGCCAGTGACAAGAAAGTGGACTTTCAAATTGGTCAACAAAGGGGCGGCAGGCCAAGATGTATATGAGCAGTATAATTTACTTAAAACTGTAAATCATGCAGAGGTGGCGCTCCACTCTATTGGAGTGCCACACTAACAAAGCAGAGCTGAAATGAGTATAATATGTCCCCTTTAACTCTGAGCCTTTGTTGTACTTCATTTTAACCAATAGTTTTAGTTACATTCACAAACTCTGTTTCTGTATTTTCTGCTTTTTTGTACAGTGTCAAGTAACTAACAGGATTATTTTTTAACAAGAGAAAGCTCAACATTTATCTCCAAACTTAGGATCATTGGAGATGTAGACATTATCTTAAATGTTTAAACCCAGAATTTGTGTCTTCGGGGAGATGAGCATGTTTGGAAAAAGAACTTGTCTTTGTCCCAAGAGAAATTCGTCATACTTGCTGATGTATTTAAACCCATATGTTGTCATTGATGGCGTGCATCTGTTTGTCATTGGTGTTGTGTTGCAGGACTGATGGTCGTCGCTGGTCACTGGCCTCCCTTCCCTCCTCTGGATATGGAACCAACACACCGAGCTCCACTGTCTCTGTAAGCATCGCCCACTCATGATGTCAGTGTAAATATTTCATAAACAGAATCACAGATATGTGTGACATAGAATTGAACCTAGAGCCAGACCCGGTTTAAATAGATTTTAAAAGATTCAAATGTTTAAAACGGTCATAAAGCTGTGTCATCATTGCTGCCTGTGTAAAACAGGCACGAGGCAATCCCCCGCAATTCCTAATGATAAAACATTATGGTGATGAGGGTAAATCACAAGAAAGAACAAAGTAAAACAGTTTCAGAAATTTTTTCTCTTAGTCTTTACTCAAGTTTTTACATGTGGCTCAGTGACAACATGTCTGAACTGCATTTGGAGAGCCTTTGTCTAGTTTTTCTTACATTTATAAGAGTATAAATGTTAAACTGTTCCCATATGTCAGCATTATCCTGTACAGGAAGCCGAGCTTTGACTACTGTACAATACGTGTGTATACAATAACACTCATTTACAGGAATTACAATGTGCCGGGGGACTGAAAATGACCTGCACTAATGCTATGTTTTTGTTTTGTGTGGCGTTTGGTCACCTAGTGCTTTTCCTGCTGTTCAGATGCTCTTTGGAAGGCACACACATAGTTTCAGCAGATACAGCGTGTGTCAGCCTGTATTAGAAACAATAAGGCTTTTGGTGTGCGCCAAGGGTTGGGCTCAGATTTCCTTAATATATTATAATCCACGTGTTATTTTATTATTGCCATTAGTGCTGAATAATTTGCGCATTACATGGCTCAGTGTTTTAAAGGTTTACTTTTTCATTATGTGATTTCTCAGAGCAGCGTTGTTGACCATGGTGCACATGATTGTTGAGGATAGTTACGTTGATAAAACATGCTTACTTACTTACTTTCTTGACAACAGTTACTTCGGTCTCATACGCTCATATTTGTTGGTTATGCGCAGTCTTAACCTATGTTAGCATTTTTTCACTTCTTATAGTGGTTAAGCTAACAGTCTCCCAACAGCAGTCGCATATATAACACACAGACAGAAGATCTACAGGGGAAAACATTTAAAAGAAACCACAAAGACAGCCCACTACAACAATTTTTTTTTTTTTTTTTCCCCCACTAAGGAAAATTTATTTTTCTTTTTCTTTTCATGTTGAATGTATATTTGTTTCATTTCCAGTCATCCTGTTCATCACAGGAGAAGCTGCATCAGCTGCCCTTCCAACCTACGCCTGATGAACTGCACTTCCTCTCCAAACACTTCTGCACTGAGAGTATCTCGGGGGATGAATGCCGCAGAGCGACGGCAATGCGACCCCGGTCACGGAGTCTCAGGTATTAATGTACTTCTGCGAATATTTTCTCTCAGATGTACGTGGCATTGGTGGGACTGAACCAGTGATTTTATTCAGAGGTTTTTTTCTTTTCCTTTTTCAGCCCTGGAAGATCTCCGTCCTGTTACGATCACGAAATTATAATGATGAATCACGTCTACAAGGAGCGGTTTCCTAAAGTGAGGACCCACAAGACTTTACAGTTCTGTTTGACCACAAATTATCTGCATTATCAAACTTGCTCCGTCGCTTCTTTCTGCAGGCCACAGCTCAGATGGAGGAAAGGATTCAGGAGATCATCCGCAGCAACTCTCCTGAGACCGTCCTCCCCTTGGCAGATGGCGTGCTTGGCTTTGCCCATCACCAGATAATTGAACTGGCCCGCGACTGCCTGGAAAAGAGTCGGCTGGGACTCATCACCTCCAGCTACTTCTGCGAACTCACCGACAAGCTGGAGAGGCTTGTACAAGAGGTGAGAACATCTGCAGAAATCAAGTAGATGTTTCCTCATGACAGTTCAGCAATAAGACATGTTTTTACCGTAACATTAGAGTTGCACTGCAAACATTTTGTTTTCTTCTTCTGTTGATGTAGTCCACAGAGAGGTCAGAAAGCGAGGAGGTAAACTTCATCAGAGAGCTGGTAAAGAAGATCCTTATAGTGATAGCCCGACCTGCTCGGCTGCTGGAATGTCTGGTATGTTTATGGCCTTATTTTTTTTCTGCCTAAGTCTAAAATGTGCTGATGGGTGCTTGTCTTGAATATTTTATATGAAGTGACTGCCACTGTTTAAATGCACAAAATAATTTAACAAAAAAACCCAAGAAAAGATGGAGATGGTTCATAATGAGCACTTCATCTGGATGGGTAATTTGTCTGAATGTTTGATAATTGTGTGTGTTGCTACATCTGGTTTCTTTGCTATGTAAGGTTATTTCAAATGACTCTGGAGTCAGCAGCTCAAATCTATCAGTCTAAAAAATATTCTATAAAAGTTCTATACGTTTCCATTATTCAGGTAACACTTTCTGCAATTCATCTAAGTGTCTGTCGTATTACAGAATCAAAGAGAGGTTAAAGTGGCTAAAATCAGAATTAAATTTAAAGCTGTTATGACTTACTTCAGCCGAATAGTACCTACCTCATACCTGATGGCAAGCTGACAAACACGGAGTAATTTAGCAGCCAAAGAAATATCTCAAAGGAGAAAGTAGAGACCACAACAAGCCTAAAGAAAGTAAATTCTGGACTAACCTATACTTAGAGAAACCTTTCCCTCACATTATAATGTTGCTCAGGCTGCTTGAGAAACTTGTTTGCTTATAGGTTTGCCATGGCGATCTAAAAAGTGAAAGTTCAACTTCTACTTCCTCTAAGCTGAAAATAAAGCGTAAATAAGTATGTTTTCCTTCACTCAATAGAGCTCCTACTTGATCTCAAACTACAAGATCAGGAATTTGTTTACTGTTTACTTGTTTATTTAAAGTTGTTCATAGCAATATATAGGAAAGTGTTTTGCTGTCTCTTCAGGAGTTTGACCCAGAGGAATTTTACCACCTTCTGGAAGCTGCTGAAGGACACGCTAAAGAAGGCCAGGGCATCAAAACAGACATCCCTCGTTACATCATCAGCCAGCTGGGACTCACACGAGATCCTCTTGAAGGTACACGAAGGACTTCATCATCATCATCATCATCATTGTTGTTATTCCTAATACCATTAATACATTTAAATGCTACATGTAATATAGAGTAAATATATATTTACATAAAGAATGTAAGTACAGCACCTAATTAAAACAGATTATTTTGCATTTAATGTCAGAAACAAAAAACAGAAAAAGTTTAAGTGTAATGTTAAATGTTATCTCCAATCATTGATCATACTATGATATGTAGTATCCTGTATAACCGCAGTAAAGTTGTATTATTAGAATATATCCTTTTATTATTATTATCATCATCATACTATTATTACATCAGGAGAGCAAAGGAGTAAAGAGAGCACAGGATAATTTGTCAGGGTAAGGCTGTAAAGCAGGATTTGGCAGTTTGTTTTCCCAAGAGGCCAAATGAGAAACTGGGACTGTTGTGGAGGGGCACAACAATATGCTGAACACCGTTCTGCTCAGTATTCATTTCATAAGAGCACTTTGAGGTGACTGCTGTTGTGATTCGGCTCTGTATAAATAAAGCAGAGTTGAATTAAATAAGCTTCTTGGTGCAGCCCTCCACAACAGTCCCTTTTTCATGGTTCCCTTTTGAAAATGAATGGCCCACTCCTGCTCTAAAGGAACGCTGGAACTGAATTGTGGAGGGAAGTTAAAGACAAAGATACTCTTGACGAATGTCCTGTACCAAACAGATCGTCTTTCTAATGACCCTCTGTCTCTCCAGACTCTGTAACCAGCAACATTCATTATGACTAATTAGAAAAGAATGGCCTCCCCACAGACCTTATACAGATCTACACAGGCGGGCTCATCAGCCAGTCTCTCCATTTATTTCCCCCGAGTGTCTCCCGTGTTTCGTTTGCCCAGCACCTCGTGTGCCGGAAGCAAACCTACGAGGAAGGACAGATGTTAAATAGTACTGAAAATGTGTTTACAAGCTCTCCAGGGACGAGACAAACAGCACACATGGACTTTGCCATGGCTGCACAGACGAACATGCACTGAAAAAGATGCAAGGTGGTTTTTAATGAGCAGTTGTTCTGGGGTGGTGATTTTCAAAATGAGCGTAAGATGTGCATTTGTGATGCCAGTTTTGATTTCCGCCTCATTTGTCCTCAATTCAGCTTATATTGAAGTCAGCACCTCAAACCTAATAGGTGAATAAAAGCTGAAGTCTGCTGTTTTTGTTTTGTTTAAAGGGCCTGATTTCATTTAGGCTGCCTTTGTTTCAGTAACTGCAATTGAGAACCTGTGTGTCAGTTTCTCATGAAGTTAGATTCATAGTTTTGTCACATCAAACCCACTGCAGCTTTGCTCCTGATTATTTCTCTGTTTCTTTTCTAGAAATCGCTCAGCTGACCAGCAGTGACAGTGGAATTGCAGAAACTCCAGAAACAGATGACTCTGTAAGTGCTTAGACATTGATTACATTATTGATCTAGTTCATCTTTACTGCAGGCGAAGCAGTGAAATCCAGATTTTATCTCTTTGATTTGTTTTAGCGTTTATCTCGCTCTCGTCCTCAGTCTCAGAGTTTCAGCACGGCCTTGCGGTCCCGGCGGAAACCCTGTGAGCTGGACTTTGAAATGATAAAACTCATCAGCAACGGTGCCTATGGGTAAGGACGTCTCATTTCTCTATCGGACAATCTAATCTCTGCTGATAGATGGTTGGTTACAGGCTGTTTGTTTCTTCTTTGTTTTGCAGTTGACAAAACCATACTGTGATCAAACCACACTTATTGTTGCAGTTTTTCTTCTATTCTTTGTGCAGCTCATAGGTAAACTTTTTGTTCCACAGAGCTGTTTATCTGGTGCGGCACAAGGAAACTAAGCAGAGGTTTGCCATGAAAAAGATCAACAAGCAGAATCTGATGTTAAGGAATCAGATACAGCAGGCCTTTGTGGAGAGGGATATCCTCACCTTTGCTGAAAACCCTTTTGTTGTGTCCATGTATTGCTCCTTTGAAACACGGAGGCACCTGTGCATGGTTATGGAATATGTTGAAGGTCAGCACTCTATTTTATTTTATGTGCATAGTGCGACCGCTGAAAGCAGTCTACTTTGAACAATGTCTTCTTTGTGTTGTTCTTTACAGGAGGAGACTGTGCCACCCTGCTGAAGAACATGGGTCCCCTACCTGTGGACATGGCTAGGATGTACTTTGCAGAGACAGTACTGGCTTTGGAGTATCTACACAACTATGGCATTGTTCACAGGGACCTCAAACCTGACAAGTGAGCTGTAAACAATATTTGTACATAAATGCTGGCACTCAGAGAATTATATTTTATTTTCAGGCTTTTGTTTTTCTTGCTTTTCTGTCAGGCATCTTTGCCATTTAAAAACAAACGGAACAAAAAAACTGTACAGTACTCGATCGACACCAAACAGCAGACTTGACGGTGTTAGTCATGAGCTATTGAATATAGCTAACAATTAAACTGAAGTTGGTGATGCATCTGTACTGTATTTAAAAGACATTGTGACCTACTGTTTTGAGTAATGGCTGTTATGGCATAATTTGCATAGTGCATTTGCACACCTAGCTGTATTATTTGTCAGATACCTGCATTAAAATGCTCCAATAGGTATCAGTAGCACAAATATGTGCGAGACCTGACCAGGGAAGTTCACGATTCAGGTTAGCAGACAAGATAAGACAGCTTGCTGCCAAAGTCACCTGTGTCAGCAACATAGGCAGTATTAAAAAAAAAAAAAAGGAGACATCGTTTCTAGTCTTACACCTGCATTATTTTTAATATCCACCAGGGGGCAACACCTGTGGGGTTATCCAGTTTTGTACAAGTCAAGAGGCTGTTGGGTTCTTTGGCTATGTATGTAACCACAGTAAACATGTTTCTGTTGGGTTTATTGGGTCATTTCCAGGTTTAAGATCACATTGAATAGGACACGAAGTCCATTTTGTAAGTTATGGGAATTCTAAGAGTCAGAAAGGATGATTATGTAGGACTTACTCAGTGGCTAATGACTTTGAAACTGGCAAGGAGAAACTCAGTTCGACATCCCATAATGGTACTTCAGTGAAGGACATCGCAATGGCTGCACAAACCCTGCATACGGTCTAATGCAACAACCTGTCAGTCAAATTGCCAGTGCTCCTGATAATGCAGACTGTAAGTCTGATCAAAATTTGAACAGTTTATTTGTAAATGGTAAAAATGGTAAATGGCCTGTATTTGTATAGCGCTTTACTAGTCCCTAAGGACCCCAAAGCGCTTTACATATCCAGTCATCCACCCATTCACACACACATTCACACACTATTTGTCAATGAGGAAATCTGCTATAGGAAGGAAAACATTTTTATATTGAGGTGTAAACATGTTTATTTCTACTATAAAGTCAGGTTTTTTGTTTTTTTTTAACGTGGAGGTGTGGACATTGGCTCGCTGTGAGAGTCTTCTTCAACCCCAGGTACAGCTCGGTGCTGAAGAGAGCAGAAAGTCAGTAAATATTGGATTAATGAATCATTTGACCAAGACAGAACACCAAATGTGTTCTGATTTTGCTCTGGATTTGTTGGATGCTTAAAAGGGAAGCCATATTTGCTATATTTAAGTGAAATTAAATAACTGTACTTAAGGGTTGTGCGATATGACCAAAGGTTCCATCTGTGTACCTGGAACTGCTGCGGGAAAAAGCCAGTTCTAACATTTGAGTCTAAGGTTTATATTTTAGCACCTGGCAGCTCTTTTGCATCCGTAAACTCTCTCCATACTCCAAACCATGTCCATGCTACAGAGGTAGCCCCTCGTTTAGGTATAAGGTCCTCAATTTGTTTTGACTGGTCCTGGTTCTGTTTGGAGCTACCTGGTCCTGCCACATTTTCACTGGCTATGCTGGTATTCTCTGTGCCCAGATGGAAAAAATATTGCCGTAAACGGTGTATTTTGCGACACCATGAAACAAACGATAATGTATAATTTGAAACGACAGATGTTTTCACATCATCATGCGATATATTTCGTCATATTGCACAGCCCTAACTGTACTTCATAATATGTCTAAAACTAATAGAAATGTCTTCTTTTTTTTTACCTCAGCCACCTTTGTGTTTGTTCAATAACATTAAAGATTGAACTGAGCAATTTTAATTTTTTTGTTTACACATATTGGCATGGAAACAGCAATTTCTTTTGTGAAAAGGAAGAAAAATGTCAGAGTCATGCTTTACGTTTTTTGTTTTTTTTCCCTTCATAAAAACAACATTGTAACAAAAATCGCAGAACAACTGACTGCATTTATCATTTTACTATAATTAAACTTTGTTCAACTTGGTTTATCTTTTAGTCTGCTGGTGACCTCAATGGGGCACATTAAGCTGACAGATTTTGGTCTTTCCAAAGTCGGGCTGATGAACATGACCACCAACCTGTACGAGGGACACATAGAGAAGGATGCCAGGGAGTTCTCTGATAAGCAGGTAAATGTTGTTGAGCTTTACAGATGTACACTTTCTCAAAGCTCACCATATTTAGAATCCTTTTTGTTTTCTGCTGTACAGGTATGCGGCACCCCAGAGTATATCGCTCCAGAGGTGATCCTGAGACAAGGCTATGGGAAGCCAGTGGACTGGTGGGCTATGGGCATCATCCTGTATGAGTTTCTTGTGGGGTGTGTGCCTTTCTTTGGAGACACACCGGAGGAGCTTTTTGGACAGGTCATCAGTGGTCAGTGTTAACAACACCTCCTTTTTCAATTTGATAATTAAAGCAAATCTTAGACTTACATTAAATAGTTACTGAGATATCTCAGTCGTGCTCAAAATATTTGAATTTACATACCTGAAAACAGCAACTGTCAAAATGAGATACCTGTGTAATTAATTGGAACCCTTTCTACATGTTTCCTTTCCTTATGAATAACTTCTTGACAGCCATCTATTAGATCAGCGGTCTCCAACCTTTTTTGCGCCACGGACCGGTTTATGCCCGACAATATTTTCATGGACCGGCCTTTAAGGTGTCGTGGATAAATACAACAAAATAAAACTAGTACCGGTACCGAAAAAAAGAGAATTTATTCATAACACACGTGAAAAGACCCAGGAAAACAGAGTAAACGATAACAAAATAACGCTGAAAACCGATAAAAACCCTGAAAACTATACATTTCACACCTGAGCCTCAACTCTTGCGGCCCGGTACCAAACGACTCACAGACCGGTACCGGTCCGAGGCCTGGGGGTTGGAGACCGCTGTATTAGATGAAGGTCAGGTCTTTGCTGGATGTCTTTCCTATTTTTTAAGGACTTGACTTTCAGACTAAAGATTCAAGGACAAACTGCACACCGTGCCTGAGATTTACAAGTTTTTGGCTCCCTGGAAATTATCTTGCTGGTGAAAAAATATTATCTGTTATCTGTTTAAGTGGTAAAAACACTCTCCTGAAAATCGTCAGGCACCTGAGCTGAAAATGAGTGAAAAAGCAGCCAATATCCAAAGAAACACTTAACTACACTTGAAAACAGTTACAATAAAGTCTGTTTCTTTGGAAGCAAAATACAGAAAAATAAGGGTTGGCTTAAGTTTTTTATTACACAGTACTGTGTTCCAGCATCCTAAAAAATACAAAGTTCATTTATTTTCTTATTTGTTTATGTAAGTTTATTAAATACCTAAAATGTTACAAGTCATATTTTCTGCTAATGAAGGCGATTAAAGGTGAGATTTGACCACATCTGGCATTTAGATGCTATCCTGCACATCAGGGGAATTCACAGGCTACATCAAATATGAATTAAACATTCATATAGTGACCACATTGAATGAGTTGTGCATAATTTCCAATTTTTTGAAGACCGAGATTTCCCTGAAGGCTAGCAGCAAACAGATGGCAGTAAGTGCCTTTAGCTCGCTTTAGTTCCCAAATGAAGTTTATTATTGTGATTTATACTTTGTCACTTTATTCCCTCATAGTGTCATTGTGACAGAGCAGAGAAAATCTTCTTGAAAAATACGAGCTTTCAGCTTGTCAGCAGCGTGTGGCATGTTGGATAAAAGCTTCTGTCTGTGCCATGGAAATGAGTGGCGTGCAGTGACTGATTTGGTACACTCGTAAACAAACTGTACCAATGTCCTGTGTGTGACTGTTAATTAGAAAGCCCCGAATACACTGAAACCATGCCACGGTGGCCTGCGGCTGCACATACGTATTCATAGCTTACACCCAAATTTCCTTAGAATGGGGTACAGAGAGAACATAGCAGCCAATCAGCATGAAGCACACAGCTCTGCTCTGTTCGCTGCTTGTTTTTTCTGTTATTATTGTTTAACATTACACACAATAGAGCTTTGATTTGTAAGAGCTCATTTCAAAATACCTTTGAGAACAAAGTGGTTTAGTATTAGGCTAAAGTCATTTTTGGGATTTTTTCAAACTATAAAATCCTATAGACACATATTTATTGAGATAATAGCTGATTAATGAATCAGCTTCAATGAAGGGCGGCTGTCTTCAACATTCCCAGTTTTTCATGTGCATAGTGCTATGAAAAAAGGTTTTTTTTGGTTTGTCTGTTTGTTTTTTGTGTATTTTTCCAAGTTACTATTCAGTTACTTTGTTCAAATCGGTTCAAATAGGTTTGGATAGTTTTTCATTTATGACTAATAAATGTATCAAATCTATATGAGCCATAAAATTTGACTTACATGTTTTGTTACAAAAAACTAATTAAGCAATAGTTCCTTTTTTGGTTTAAATGTATTTTTACTACTACTACAGCATTTTCCCCCCACAGTTGGTTCACAGAAGAAAAAAGATATTTTCTGTGAATTTGTGAAAACAACGAACAACCAGAAATTCTTCTGTAATTTTACACATTTGTAGTTTTACTGGACCAACCCACTTAAGTTCAAAGTGGCCTGTATGAGGCCCAGGATGTAACATGAGTTTGACATCCCTGCTCTAGTGTATTGTCAGATAGCCGTTAGAGGCATTATCTGACTAGATGACATCTAGTTTTAGTGTCTGTCAGTGAAATAAAATCTATAAGGTGTTGGTACGTAAAGTCATTCTATAACACTGTTTCTGGTTCTAGATGAGATCAACTGGCCAGATGGGGATGAGGCTCCACCTCCTGACGCTCAGGAGCTCATCACCTTGCTGCTGAGACAGAATCCCCTGGAAAGGCTGGGCACAGGTACAAACACAAAGAGTGAAGACCTTCTCATATGTGGAGCAGTCAGGGACTGGGTGAGAACTAGGCATGCACAACAGGCCGCTATAAATCCTCATGTGCTACCTCAGCACGGCTCATTATTCCAAGTCACTGGGGAAGAAATTGAGGTCATCCACCAGCGGAGCAGTTTATCCTGTGGCCTACTCACCTCTTCCTCCTGATCAATTGCAATTATTTCCCACCAGTCCATGAATCTAGCTTCATGCACAATCAGGGACTTTGAGTGTGTAGATCTGCAGACTGTAAAAGTGACCATGACCCTGGACAAAGGCCTTTAATCAGTGCAATGCACACAACCAGCTTGGTCTGGAGACATCCGGATCTACTTAGGCATCTAGATCTCCCCTCAGCGGGCTGCCATTCACAAAGTCTCCTGCTATTTCACTAAAGGTCACAGGCAGGAAATTGTTCTGCATAATTTATGGTCATGATAGCGATTTGTCCTGTAGCCACTAGGGAAAAGAGAAACACACCGTAAGCATTTCTTCTGTTCCTGTGTTTGAACCATTCAGTGTCGAGTGATTTGTGCGTGTGCTTTCTCCACAAGCAATTTTCACATTGTTCCATATTTATCCGACCTGCAGGTGGAGCGGCCGAAGTGAAGCAGCATCAGTTTTTTCACAACCTAGACTGGAACGGCCTGTTGAGGCAGAAGGCTGAGTTCATCCCTCAGCTGGAGTCCGAGGACGACACGAGTTACTTCGACAGTAAGTTATCAAACGGCCTCATAAAAACACTTATTCTTTGTGATTGATAACTGATAGCTGATTGTTCATTCATGTTTGGAGTGTAAACAGGACCTAGTAGCAGCTAATTTTAATTCTTTTTCATGCGATTTCAACAACATACAGTGGGGGAAATGATTATTTGATCGCATGCTGGATTTGTAAATTTGTTCATTTCTTTGGAAGTAAGCAATCTCTATTTTTATGGTAATTTCATTTTAATGGGGAGAGAGAGAATATGAACCAAAAATCCATGAAAAGCATATTACATAAACGTTATGAAGTGATGTCATGTCCACTGAGTGAAATCAGTATTTGATCCCTGAGCAAAAATCAACTCAGAACTTGGTGGAGAAACTCCTGTTAGCAAGCACAGCGGTAAGATGTTTCTTGTAGTTGGTCACCAGGTTTATGCACACTTTAGGATTTTGGCCCACTCCTCTTTACAGAAACTCCTTGGCTGCTGCTTAGCAACTCAAACAACTGAGGGCTGGAGACTGGCGCGGCCACTCCATCACCTTAACGTGCTACTTCTTCTTAGCAACTCCTTTTTTGCTTTGGTGCTTTGTTTTGGGTACGTGGCCTCGCCCACTGGCCCCTCAGTGCGGTGAAGTTGTCCAGTACCCTTAGCAGAAAAAAAAATCCCCAAAGCATAGTGTTTCCACCTCCATGCTTCACTGTGGGGATGGTGTTTGTTGGGTCATACTCTGTATTTCTCTGTGTCTCTCCTCCAAACACAGCGGGAGACTACATAAATATTTGTTGTCAGGAAAAAATGTGTTTTTTGAAACTGTAGAGCATTATTCCTGGTGAGCACGCTGCTGCTCGCACATCTCAGCTGTGCAGCAAGATTTCAACCACTGCTGTCAAAGAAACAACCAGAACTGTATTTGAGACTGCAGTGTGAGCTGTAAATATGTTAGCAATATTTTGTTGCTCACATATGAAATTTGCATGTATGCTGTCATAACTATGGAGCATCAGCAGCTTTAAAAATAAATAGTTATTTTAATCTATTTGACTAATATGTAATGGAAAGATAAAATACAATAAATATACAGTAGTACAATTTCAGCTGCAGAATCTTGTGTGCCTGAATACAACAGAGCGAAAATGTGCTGTAAACAAAGTTGTGTGTACATATTTGTGTTAATTCTTTCTTTGTATTTTGTGGAGCCATGCACCACATATGAGGTGTAACTAAGAATACAACACTGAAGTGCAAATACTCATAATAATGATAAACAGCCTGCTCAGAATTACGTGGCAGCATTGCGATCAAGTAGCCTGGTGTCCAAAATGTTTCAACAGCTGTCTGCTGCTGAGTTTTCCATTTCTTTGTGTTACTGAAGAAGTGAACAATCCAATTACAACCAGAAATGCCAGTTTAGCAAATCTGACAAAATTCTGCTTCATCCTTGCATCCCATCTGAGATCATGACTTTCCTCCAGATGCTGTTAAAGTAAACTTTGCATTATTAAAATGCTGTTTTCACTAAAACTCTCTAAGGACACGCAGACAACACAGTTAGTTTTAATTCCAGTTTAGGTTTTTTTTTTTTTTTTTACACTTTTATTAACAAAACTGTCCTATTACAGTACATCTTTCATTAAAATTGACATTGGCATTTTGAACAGCCTAATTTAATACTTTGTTACATATGAAGTATGTCTGCAGCAGAGCAGCGACTCTGCCTCTAATTAAAAGCAGTGAAAACACTTGCATTTCTTAGTCATTATACTCTTTTTCTACTTGGGTCATCTTTTTGCACTGTAATAAGAATAACCTGTAATAATGCAATTTATAAAATATAATTCTCTCCTCTTTCACAGCTCGCTCTGAGAGATACCATCATCTGGAGACAGAGGAAGAGGACACAAATGATGAAGACTTCAATGTGGACCTGCGGCAGTTTTCCTCTTGTTCTCACAGATTCTCTAAGGTATGTCCTTAATCTCCCTCCTCACATTGTTCCAGTGTCATCATCATTACTGCCAAAGACGTTAGCAATATAAATGAGCTCGAGCCCTCATCTGTCCCGATCCCATTCTCATGGGAGGGGGAAAAACACGAGCGGCTGCCATTTCATATGGAAATGTGTGTCTTGAAAACACAGCCTCCCTCCTGCTCTTCCTTTATCTCCATAGTGTCAAACGTAGATTTCAGCTTTGCATACATTTTACACTTGCAAATGAGATTTATTTTTCTTGGTAGTAATGTGTGACACAGTACACAATACAGACAAGCTGGGAGTCATTGCTGTGCTGCATTGCAGTGTGCTCTCCTCACATCAAAACAAAGCATTACAGTGTGTCTCAGAAAGCAGCAGGGTGTCTCAGAGGAAGCGTTCAGCTATACTGAACCTTCTCGATGCTTGTTGGACACAATGAAGTCTGCATAGCACAGACAAATATAAAATAAAGGTCACGAGGTTACCCAGTATCTGTACCGAATGTGATAGATTTTCTTTCTAAACCTTTTTGGCTCTTTTATTTTTAAACCTCTGTTCACATTTTGTAGCTTACATGTAACAAAGTGAGTCATTGTCGCTGTGTGGCTATCAGGTTTACAGCAGTCTGGATTTGTCCCGTGGGCATCTGGAGGAGAAGGGAGAGACTGAGGAGAAGAAGACCGAGAGCCCGCTGACTGTGGACTCTCTCAGCTGGACGCCAGACTTCGCTGAAGCGTATGAACACCTCCATCTCTAAATCAAAAACGATTACCAGAGTTCATTAATTGCTACACCTGACCATTATATAGACTGAGCACACATTAAGTGAGCAGTTCATTGGATGATGATTGTGCTGGCATACTAAACACATACTGGAAGGATTGTAACGCAATTGTCATGGTTTTTTGGTTTGAGGTGAGGTGGCTGCAGTTTGTAGAACATAGAAAAACTGCAGTGGAAGTGGTTGAAGTATTTAAGTACCAAACTACAAGATGTGATAAAGACGGAGACTAAAAAAAACTTACCTTGTTTAACTTGTCTCCCATTCCAGATCATCTTCTCTTGCACGTCTGGACTCTTTTTAGATATATGTAGAATTCCTTTAATGTAAGCTTGCACTGGTCCCCATGCAGAATCTTCAGCATGTCAAAAAAACAGTGTTTGCGTTTTAGGAAGCTGATAAAGTAGCAAGCAGGCAAGTCTATTGGCTCATCCAGATGGTGAGCGACGATGGTGTTTTTTGAGTGTGCACATGATGGGGTGCTGGCACACTCCACAGTCCAGGAGTGTCCATTTCTGCTTCATTTTCTTTCTAAAACTTGACTGCCTCAGCCTTGGGGATAAATTCAGCACTTTCTGCATATTCGGGGTTGAAACATGTTAAAAATCTGTAGCTGAAGACGCAGCTATGATCAGCAGCTTTGGTCTTGCGCGCTAAATTTGGCTCAGTTTAAAGAAAAAGTTGATGTTTGCTTCATGTGCAAATTTGAGGGCAGTGGCAAACTTGCACAGTGCAAGTGATTAGGTTGCTGAATTTTCAGTGATCAGGTGAAGTGTTTGACACACATTTTAGGTGCATTCCAGGAGCTTCTTGATTGCATCTGATATTTATGTAAAAATCCATTCCAAGTTAAAGAGGATCAACCTTGTTAAGCTCAACTCAGTAATGGCAGTGGTGTAAAAATAACACTTTATAAATTGAATCATACTGTTCCTGCTGTCCCTCATTCTGAGAAGTCTAGGGTGTTCATCACCTTTACAAGCTTTTGCTCTCTCATGAAGACTCAAAATATTTTTTAGTCATTTGACAGTTACAAAACTCATCTAACGCAAATCTGTTGTTTTATCCAGACCCTCGCTGTCCTCGACAGACACAGACAGTATGAATCAGGGTCCTCGCCCCAGTTTGCTACCAAAGTTTGCCATCTCAGCTGAAAGCGAAGGGGATGAGACATCAGGCATCGGCGATCCCAGCAAAGCCTCGTTCTCCATCGGGGAGTTTCCACAGGACGAGCCTGAAGCTGCCACTCCGGGCAGCACGCACAGCGGGGCCACGCTCTCTGGTACGAGCCGCAGTCTTTAGAATTACACACCTTTCTGTACATGTGCTTGGTTTGTACTTTGTAACATCATTAAGGTGCAGTTCTCTGGAAACAACAAAAACATATGATTGAATGTTCTTGCTTGTTTTATTGGGAACATTGTGCTGTGTTAAATTGAGCTCAGTGCAACTGATTGTTTTTCAACCACGTCAGTTGCCCCCTGCTGGCCATTAGAAAGAATTCAGGCTCTAAGTGCAGACGTTTGACCAAAAAAAAGTAATTGATGTGCAGTTGGCCTAAATGTATAATTTGCACGTTTATTCATTATTTATTATTAATTCATGTTATTTCTATGGGAAGAATAACTGTTTGCTTCATTCCATCCATAAAAAAAGGGAGTTTCTCAGAACATTTGGACCAGCTGACACCCAGGGGAGAGGGTGTGGAGAGCCCTGACAGCACCAGTCACACCTCTGCTGACCACGGACCTCCGTCGACCTCTCTGCGACCTGAGAGTGCTGTAGAGAAGAGCGGAGCCGTGCCAAAAGTCCCAAAGTCTGTGTCAACTGGTGCCCTTTCCCTTATGATCCCTGGAGGTAAGTTAAAAACAAAACAAAAAAACAAAACACACACACATTACCATGCTGATGTTGCCTCAAAATTTTGTAAGCTACATTGTTGACGCATGTGGGAGCAATAACATGTTAAGGATAACAGTAAAAGCAATGGACTTTAAAAATAATCTGAAAAAGATGAAAGTTCACTGTGAAGCTGTCATAATTGGCCCGGCATGCCTCAAGTTCCATGTTAAAAAGAGGCTGTGAGCAAAAACCTGAGCACAAGCTGCTAACAAGGAAAATAATCAGGCATGGTCAGAGCGAGGGTCTTCACTGCAGGGAGAGAAAATCATATTAGTTTCACCCACAGCTGCAGCAGAATCAATCCTGGCTCAAAAGCTTTTACGGCAATACCTCGGTGATGACTTCAGGGCACGTTATAGTCTGATTGATTTTGGAAAAAATTTAAGAACTCAGACGTTGGTCAACTCTTATTTTTCCAGATATCTTTGGAGCATCACCGCTGGCCAGTCCCCTTTCTCCTTACTCCCTCTCCTCAGACCCTTCCTCAAGAGACTCCTCTCCGAGCCGAGACTCCTCCCTCTGTCCCTCTAACCCACGGCAGCCCGTCATGATCCACAGTTCTGGGAAGAAGTTTGGTTTCACGCTGAGGGCAATCCGGGTGTACGCTTGTGACAGTGACATCTACACAGTCTATCACATGGTCTGGGTAAGGCCTTTAAGCATTTTTTCTTTAAACAAACCCTGTTGAATGACCACAGGACTATGACAGCAGATGTATGATTTTGTTTTGTTTGTTTGTAATAAATTATTTATTATGAAAATTAAAAACTGCACCATCCTAACATAATATTAGTCCATTAATGGGATTTTTTTCCCCCAGCAGTTAAAACTGAAGGCATCACATAGACTTGCTTTTATTCCACATTTTAATTTTAATAAACAGCGGTGAAAATAATTTACAGATGCAACCAGAAGTCAGGGAACTGTGAAGTTTGTGTGCTTATGTTTTAACTTGATGCAATTGAAAGTCTCTTGTTAACTACAGGTGTCGCCCTCTGCTGGCCACTGAAAACGATGCGTGCAACAGCATTTTTCTCTTTTGTCTGAACAAAATGTTCTAAAACACAGCTTTAAAAGCAGTTTTAAATGATTCAAATGCTTTTAACACAAAAGGATGATAATGAATCAATACCTTTTTATGTTGATCAGAACGTAGAAGATGGTGGGCCTGCACATAAAGCAGGACTCAAAGCTGGAGACCTCATTACTCATGTGAACGGAGAACCGGTTCACGGTCTTGTCCATACCGAAGTGGTGGAGCTCCTGCTCAAGGTAACGCACAATGTGTGTTCATCTCTAAACAGCTACTGTTAAAATATTTAATAGTTCTGATATTTATTGCGTTTGATGTAATTTCAATTAGAATAAACTGAATAATCTATTTAGGTTGAGGAGTAAGTGCTACTGAAATTGATGTTGTTTCCATTTTTTTAAAAGTGAGTGCAGAAAATTCAGCTCTAATGATTTACTGGAGCGCGACTACAGTCGTTTTAGTTGGAAGATATTTAAATCATAAAAGGGTTTAGGTAAATTCCACTAATATAGATATAAATGGTTTGTTCTGATTTTTAAAAAAAAAAAATCTATCCTCTTCCCAACATCAAGTGTTTTTCTTTTTCTTTTTCAGAGTGGCAGCAAAGTGGCCATCTCTACAACCCCCTTTGAAAATACTTCAATAAAAACTGGTCCTGCCAGAAGGAACAGCTACAGGAGCAAGATGGTCCGATGTGGCAAAAAGCCCAAGAAGGAGAAGACCCCAGAAAGGTACAAATAAGTCCTTAAATTACCTTTGGATCATTTGTTTCTTAACCCCCTTTATTTAAGGGAGACTGAGACAACCAGCTGCTGTGCTTCGATGGAACATTATGGCCCATTATTAAATGATTTTTTGTTTTGGTTAGGGAGGTTTCAATAAATCTGAGTTGCTGAGTTTTATTTAAACTGCTGCATTTCCTCCTCGAAGACAATTTGGTACATTTTTAAAAAGCTAACCATCCATGTGGAATTTCGTAAGTAAGTTACAAGCACTAGCTCAGTTATAGTTCAGCTTCACTAGGTTCTGCATATCCTGATAAGTTATTGAAGACCACAAGGTCGTATTCCTGCCCTGATACTTGTTTCTGTAAGCGTGGGAACTGCAGTTTTGTTTCTGCAGCCTAATCGTTCTTCAGAAAAGAGGTGAGTGATCCAATTTCCTGTGTGCAGTCATTACTCTATTTCCTGTAGGCCTCTAGAGGGCAGACAGATGGCACTGAGGGAATCATTGAAAATCTGACGATCCTACAGATTCAGTGGGTTGTTTTCCATCTTTAACAGTTAAGAGTACCTGGCACTGTGCAGAGCAGTTACACATGTAAATAGTAAGAAAGCAGCAGCCTGTGGTGTCCATTGTAAACTGTGAATTTAACACTTCGTCATCTCACTTTTCTTTTCACAGGCGCCGCTCCCTTTTCAGACGCTTTGCCATGCAGCCTTCTCCTCTTCTGCATACGAGTCGCAGCTTTTCCTCCCTGAACCACTCGCTGTCATCTGGTGAGAGTCTCCCCGGCTCCCCTACCCACAGTCTCTCCCCTCGTTCCCCTACTGCCGCCTTCCGCCCTGCACCAGATTTCACCCAGTCAGGTGGAGATTTGAACTCATTTTTGATAACAGCTTGAATGTTACTTAATGTTTATCCTCTAATATCCTTTGGGTGTTTTGTGCTTATATATTTCAGGTGGCAACTCATCCCAGAGCAGCTCTCCCAGCTCCAGTGCTCCCAACTCCCCTGCTGGCTCAGGCCACATTCGGCCCAGCACCCTGCATGGCCTCGGCCCCAAACTGCCAGGTCAGAGGCTTCGTCAGGGTCGACGCAAGTCTGCCGGTAGCATTCCCCTCTCTCCACTGGCTCGCACGCCTTCACCTACCCCCCAGCCAACATCTCCCCAGCGCTCACCCCCTCCCCTTCTCAGTGGACACTCTGTCGCCATTTCCAAAACAACCCAGGGTTTTCCAGCCAAGATTCATTCCCCACCCACAATTGTGAGACACATTGTCCGCCCCAAGAGTGCTGAACCGCCTCGCTCACCTCTCCTAAAGCGTGTTCAGTCTGAAGAAAAGCTGTCTCCTTCTTACACAGGGGAAAAGAAGCACCTGTGCCCAAGAAAACGCAGCTTAGAAGTGACCCAAGAAGAGGTGCAGGACGAGGACGTGAGGACAGGAGAGCGCGATTTCACCGGCCTGCAGAGTGTGGATGAAGCAGCCTGTGAGCCACTGACAATCACTCGTTTACGGCCTGTCGAGCAGGGCTGCCTAAAAAGGCCAATCAGCCGTAAGATGGGCCGGCAGGAGTCTATAGAAGAGCTCGACAAGGAAAAACTGAAGTCCAAGATGGTTGTGAAACGACAGGAGTGGTCAGAGAGGAGGGAGTCTCTACAGAAGCAAGATGCTCTGCATGAGTCCGATTCATCGGCACCGTGTGCTTATGATGGGGACGAAGGCTTTCTGGTCCGAAGCCAAAACAAAGTGCAGAGCAGCCCGGAGTCTGGAACGCTGGAGGCTAAAGCTGCTAGTTCAACTCTTAAAGACGTTCTGTATAAAAAGCTGAGCACACGTGTCAGTGAAGGCATCGCTGAGCCTTCTGGTGGCAGCAGTGAAAGTGATGGAGCGCTGCGATCGGCTCTGTGTTCTGGTCACCCAGAATGGCAGCACTCTCGACAGGGTAAAGACGGCATGAAGCCAGACAGACTGGACTTCAAAGCTCCCAGTATCGAGTTCACCAGGAAGAGGTTGTCATTCGAAGAACGAGAAGACTGCATGTGTCGGTTGACTTCGACCCTCCATGAGAACCTCCACTTTGGTTCTACGAGATCGAAGAGCCTTCAGCTGGACACGGCCATGCCTCACGACCACATGAAGGCCGGACTGGGAAGCGTCCACTCGAGCCCTGAAGGTCTGGCCCCTAAGCTTTTCTCTGGCAGAGGAGAGAGCGCTGTGGAGAAACTCCATCTTATCTCTTCTGCAGAGTCTCCGCTTAGAAAAACATCATCTGAATATAAACTTGAAGGACGCCACGTCTCTTCTCTAAAGCCTCTTGAGGGCACCCTGGACATTGGTCTGCTCTCTGGACCCAGAGTTTCTAAAACAGAAACTTGTTTGTCCAAGATGGCAGAGAACACAAGTGACACAGTTTCTGTAAACCCACCAATACGACTTCAGAGCCCTACTGAAAGGCAAATAACCATCCCCCAAACAAAAACCACAGACAAGATGAAGAGTCCCCTAACTTGTTCTCTAAGCCCTGAAGCCGTTTCTTCTGTAAACAGCATTGTTGTCTCCAAGGAGCAATCAAATAATTCAGCAACAGAAATGAAAGTCAATGCAAGTGGTGAGAAAACACAGGATAGACAAGGCGAGTCATTGAAGGCCTCAAACAGCAAAGCAGATCCCTCAACTTTTAGTGTTAAACAAGAAGGAAGGACCGGTATGAAAGCCAGCCATGAGCACAGAGGCCCTCGACACAGCTCCCACTTCTCCTCCTGTGGAAAAACACCCTCCATACGGGAAGTGAGCAACGAAGATCAGGAGGATGAGGTGGAGCAGCAGGAAGAGATACCAGACACTACATCACAAAATACTGACAGCTCCAAGACAGCAGTCTCTTTGGTAGACTTAAAAACTTCCCCTCCATTTACAACACTGGAGGCTCGAGCTGTTAGTAAACCTCTGACTGGGCCACTGAAGCAGAGTGCAGACTCAGTTTTGGATACAGGTCAACTTCAGAGCTGTGAGAAGAGAAAAACTGCAGCACAGAGCTCAGACACAACCTCACGACCCGCTTCTGAGGCGAATGTGCAGACCAACTCTGCATCGGTACATGTTCCAGCGAATGTGCCAAACATTTGTTCCTCAAATACAGAACCAGGAGTTTCTGTCTCGGCATCAGCGTTTGGAGCATTACCTGATAGTAAATCAGAGCACAGTGAAACATCTGTCAGCTCATCTGTGAAGCTGGTTGGAGATGCAGGCAGCTCGGGCTCCAAGACGGAAAACAGTGCAAGTTCCACAGCTGCAAAAGTGGAGCAGAAGAAAGAAGTTTGTACGATAAACAAGGCCACTTCACTGAATATTATTACAGATGCCACACTGAACAAAAAGCATAACACTGTGTCTGCTGCTGCAGTACAGGACAGTGGCATGTCGCTGCAGAAGAAAGACGTTAACGTATCACCAAAGACGAAGAATACAGCGGCTGTGAAAGATTCAGAGCAGCCATCACAGATGTGTCCGACTGAAAAAGCACAACACAGATCGTCCGATGCACAACTTTGCACGTCTGTTGTCAGTGTTAAAGAAAACACTGTGGTCCCTTCAGCAAAGCTCAAAAGTTCAGGTGCGACAGCTACAAGTGAAACTGTTTCGAGTCCCAAAAGCAAGTCGAGGCCTGACCCACAGCCCACGCTGCCCACGTCTGTGAAGAGAGAGAAGGAAGCAAAAACACAAGAGAGCGCAGCTCCTCCCGTCCCAGCTGTCAAAGGAAGTCCAAGTTCAAAAGAGAAGGATTTGCCTAAGGAGTCTGCCCCCTCGACTTCACACGTTCAAGCAACCCACGACGCTAAACGGAAAGAAGCCTCGCCGGTATCCGCCAGCGATGGCGCAAAGAGTGAAGACTCTGTGCAAGCGAAGCCCTTGCCCACTCATGCTGACACGAGGCAGCGAGAAATACAGCCCAAATGTTCTGCTGCTGTCAAAGACGTCCCAAACTCTAAGCTGAAATCTCTCCCTCCTAAAACATCATCAGCTCTGAAGCCTGCTGCAGCTCCAGCAATTAAACAAACTCTCGATTCCAAACCTAAAGACACTTCACCTAAAAACCACCCCACAGTTATTAAAGACCCCCGTGACCCCAAAACAAAAGAATGCGCCCTGCCTCTCACTACATCTCAGCAGCTCAGGAAGGAGCCTCTGCCGCCATCAGATGTGTCCTCTCAGCCCGACCCACCAGCTGTGCTGCCTAAACTTCCAGCGAAAACAGAACCACCGAGCAGCGCAGACACCTCAGGCAAAGGCTTCAGTTGTGAGCCTGCAGTCAAGATATCCAAGGATGCTCCCAAGTCGGACACCAGAACCACCACCCCAGACAAACCGGCATCATCTCTCCGGAAGGAGCAGGGTGAAAGAAAGAAAAAGGAAACCGCTCAAGAAGTCACGCCTGCACAGAAAAACACTAAGAGAGACACTTCCAGGGCTTCTCCATCTGCAGCTAAAGACAGTTTAGACAGAGACACGAGCAGGTGCAAGCAGCTGAAGGAGTCACCGCGTAGCTCCAGTAACAAAAAGTAAAGAGGAAAGTGATGATTTCAAAAAACAAAAGAAAAACGTGACTGCTTCAAATAATCCAGATAAAGTAAAAAGTTGGGATTGATTTGTGCAATCATCATCATGCCTTCTTTTTTTGTTTATTTGAGGACCAGGCAAGCTGTTACAAGCTGATAGAGAGGGAAAGTCTGCGTGTGTGTGTGTGCATGTGTGTGTGTGTTTAATAAGATTATTCATAACAACATGTTGATGTTTCTAGGTTTGAATGTAGGCGATCATTTGCCGATCCTTTCTGAAGTTTTACTTTCATGTCAATCGAATGTTTGGAGGATTTCTTTCTGTTCGTTGCAGAACACTTCGTGCAATCAGTGTGTTTAAGGGGCAACGGGGAGGACACCTGTAAAGGCCGTGATGTACGAGAGTCTGTGCCATAAGCAGTTTTGAATTGCACTCTTTCTTCTAGACTCGGAGGATCTGAAGTCTTTTAATGCAGTAGACCACACAATGTTGTCGAGCAGTTGTGTTGTTAACGTTCAGTATGATCAGATTGTTTTAATGTTGGGTTTCGTACAGTGGTACACAAAAGAAACGCACTATATCTCGTGCTTTTCACCTAAAACCTGAAACAAAGTAACTATAGGATCACGATAGGATTCTAAAAATCATAAATTAGTGAAGGGGCCTTAGATATATGGGAAATCAGACTTGCTTTTTTTTTTTTTTTTTTAAGCAAGATGTGGTGTTTATTCACATTCCTCTGGCATCTTGTACATATATTTTTGATTTTTATGCAATATAGTGTAAATAAGATACCATTGTAAAACAGGGATACATGGGCTTACATGATTGTCGTTTGTATTATATGTATAGATTTTGCAGTGTCATGTTTGTATGCTAAGTATTAAGAGTATCATGTTCTGCTTGTGTGGTCTAAAGTAAGCTACAGCAGTGTGTCTCATCAAACGTTTCCTCTTCTGTGTGACTTTCAACATGTTTTCACATGTTCCAAAATGAACTTGAAGAGAGGAGAGGGCATGAGGGGCTATTTCTAAAAACAGAAAAAAAAAATGTAGCATTATATAACAAAACTGTGAGGGCTGTCAGCGTTTCTCCAAGAATGTCTTTGTTGATGATGTGTTCACTGGCTGATTAAGCTCTGAAGATTGTAAAATACGGGACATTGTGTTTGAGGAAGATGAACCAGCAGTTCTGCATAGTAATCACAGCAGTAGATTTCTAGAAGCCGTGGGCCTCGTCTCTGGGTTACGTCCACGCTATCGTTAAGGTCACTTGTGCGAGTAAAACACGATCTGAAGCGGTTCATGTTAAAGTGCTTTGCTGTCAGGGTTTTGGTGTTTTGGATGCTTCATAAAGAAGCTCCACCCGGGCGAAGATTTTATGATGGCTTTGCATAACATAGTTCATGTCTGCTTGAAAGTTTGAGGTCACTTTGAGCTGGATTTTTTTTCTTTTCTTTTTTTTAAACAAACATTAATGGCATACCTGCTCATTACTGTCTGACCTTGTATAATTTTGTCTTGTTCAAACACTATCTGATCTGTTGGCAAACCTGAAAAATTGTTTCACCAATCTAAGAAGCAATACTTTAGAATGATGTTTGGAGTATAAATGCTGTGGGTTTGATTTGAGTCTAAAGATTAAAAGAACTTTCCTGTGAAACATGTCACGTTACTGTCGTTCTAAGAAAGGGGGGGAAAAGTGCTGCACAGTTTGCTGTTACAGGTATCATTTAATGAAGCTGGACTCTGTTTCTCGAGTCCTTTCATTCAGCTGTAAACGCACTTCTTCTTCTTTTTCGATTGCCATTAGAGCCACTTTGCGCTGTTCTGTGATGAGTCGTACACACAGTTTGTATGAAATCTTGTGTTGCCTCACGAAATGGATCAACATCGATTTCAGAGGAAAATTCGTTAGTCAAACCTCCCCACGCCGACGCTCCAGACAATCAGCTCGCTAAAAGTATTGCTCCTTTAACCAGCTGTTTAGATTCGGTCGCTCTTTCAAAGTGATAATGATCTGCTCTAATTACACAAGTGCCATAGCTTCCTAAAACGTGTTTCTGGATGCATATGCAAATATTCCCTTAGATGATTCAGTTGATCACAATGTCACGTTTAACTGCTCCCATCAACTCTAAGTGACCACAAACTTTTCAGCTATGAATGTGAATTTCATGTTGGCGTGCTAATACCGTGGTACTACGCATATAGGCTGTTGTATATCCGCATACACTTGCTACCATTTACACACTTTTCTATATGGTAGATGCCTTTAAATTGCAAACCCTAAATGAAAACCACAAAGTAGCCTAGGACACTAGTATTAGCATCATTAGCTCTGTTGTGCTGGCTGTATAAAACCAGATCCACCGTGTTGTCCGGAGGTCACGGTCTAAATCTAAATGTTCCACACAGTATGTGTCTAAGAGTGAAAGTGAAAACCAAGATTGACAGCAGAGATTTTAATGTTAAAAGAATCTAATGTTCAGCTGCATTGGATATTGTAAAAGTATTGCTAATGTATCGTGAGATAGTAATAAATGCACCTTAATCTTTACCAATGTTAAGTTCAAAGGGTGAGTGCAGCAGAGCGGTTTATGAATCCCTCACTTTAGGGTTTTTTTTTTTCATTCCCCCAACACTCACGTTTTCCTTTCCTGTGACGACACACATTTAAATCTTTAAAGCACATTCAGTGTTTGTTTACAAAGCGTCATGGATGTATATTTTGTATATTGTTGATTTGCCAAATCTGCGTCCTGTGTTACAGATAATGTTTCTAGTCGTGCGAGGTTTGCCTCCTCGCCACCATGATTTGTTTGTGCAGTAATCGATGTCTCTTCACGTCACGTTCTACTCTCTTCTCGTCTTTTCAGATTTCCTTTTATTTCCTCCTCTGTGCAAAACTAGTATTAGATGAACTTGCTTATGTTGGTTTGTCTTTTAGAATATGTGCAATAAAAGTGTTTTGAGTTTTGTATTTTGCCCAAGGAAAGCTCTATGGATGTCATACATGTTGTATATTAAAACAGATATTTATACTTCTAATGTTGCGTAATACTGAAAATAAAATGGAATTATGAGTTACTGTTTTGCAGTTTTGTTTTTTTGTTAGCCTGAATTGAAAATGTAGTTAAAGATATATCAGAAAAAAACAAGAATTTACCATAAATATGCTTAAAGCCACAACACAATGTTACTGTGTTTATGGATGAGATGTGCAGCCCTTTAATAGTTTGTAGTTGTGCAACCTAAATTCATGACAAAATATAATACAGCAATATTTTTTTTTCTGAATGCCATTTTATATTCTGAATGATGAAATGTGCACATTTCAGTTAGTTGTGGTTATTTGCTGGTTTAACTGGAATCAAATGTACATACAGGAAGTTTACACTTGATCACGGTAAGTAATGCAATTCCAAAAGGGGGCAGCATCTTTCTGTGTGTGTGCCAGGGCTCTTCAAATAGGTCCTCTGTTACGCAACATGCAGAGAGTCAGACGATTAATGAAGTGTGGCGCACTGAGAAATCTAAACAAATATAAATATGCAAAGAACACTGATCTGCATTCATCGTGTATTTCAAAGTAAAACTGCATGTTATCATTTACATATTATGAGCTTCTGGAATAATCAGATGAGCGAGCCTCAGAGAAATAAGTCCCCATTGGTCTTTTCATTCATGATTAATGGTGCAGATGGATCAGCAACCACAGCCTGATTAATAAGCAAAAACATTAATTAGAGGAAGGAATTGGTGGGAAAAATGGTGTTTGGGAATAGTGCTGGGAAAATGTGCTGGTGCAGCTACAGGTCAAAAACCTTCATATGCTTCAACTTTAAAGATTTCTGAAAACGTCTTCATGGCTGCAGTATCAGAAATAATTAGTTGACCTTGAACCTCTAAATCCTGCTTAGCCTCAGCATTCTTAGCATCTCACCGCTTTACAGGGACACATTTAATTATTTTCACTAGCTTGTTTAACAAAGGAGAAAAAATGCAGATGTTTTTGTGTAGCCTCTGAAAGAAGTCGATATAAGAGAAAACCAAATTCTCATTGGAGATCATCAGTTTCTCTAGTGGCTATTGGGATTTCACCTTTAGCATTCATCCATCCGCTATCGCTTCTTTTGAAAATATAATCTAATAGATTGCCAGGTTATTTAAATATATTATTGCTGTAGTCTGCAACAGAGAGATTGTAGAGTGGAGGCTGGCTGGATCATAATCCATTTTGGAAAGATTTATCAATACTGATGATGTAACCAGCCATGTGCATTGTTATCAGCAGGCTGTGGGGTTAAAGGGGGAGAGAGCTGAGAGACATGCGTACATTGTAGAGAGTACTCAACAATATGCATTTAACCTCCCCCAAGCTCTACTTTCTATTCATTTAAATGGATATGATCAACAGCATTGATCAGAACATTGTATTCTACAGACAGTCGTATTTCTCAGAGGATAAATCTTAAAAAACAAACAAACAAAAAACAACCTCCAGCCGTTTTGTGGCGCTTACCTGTGTTTCCAACTCAGCCGAGAGTGAAAACCTCTCCAGCGGATCCTGAGTCAGCTGCAAGTCCTCCTGGTAGGCCGTGTCTGAGCTAGAGAAAAATCAGTGAAGGTGACAGCAGTGGTCTGTGGCCACCACCTGCAAAACCATCCCTGCTTTTACAGTCATGTGCATTTTAATTACCAGAGTGTTGAGTTTAAGGAGGGGGCACATAAGCTCACAGGCACATGTAGATTGTAGACATTGAAATCATATCGAAAAGCTTTCGCATGTTCACCATACGCTAATGATCATGTAGGTTTGTATGTTCCCTTTCTCCTCCGGGACAAGTGGACGAATCTTGATAAAACTTTGCATAAACACTGCTGAGGGCACTGACAGTAGCGTCTGTGTGGTGTATACAAATATTTTATACAAATCCAACAGTATATATATTTGCACATGTGGCAGTTCAGTTGGACACGATGTGTTTAGTTTGTTGATGTTTAGTGTGCGCATTTTTACTTTTGTTTATATTGTAGACATTTAGGTTTGTTATGTATTTTAATGGTCTGAACAAATTTTTAATCTTCCCTGTGCAGCTGAGCGGCTGCTGGTTGTTGATCAAGCGATCAAAGTAAGCGACTATAATGACCATCATTTAGTCAACTATAGTCTTCTATATATTTCATTGTGAATGTTACAATCCATATTTATTTTAATGTAATATATTTTTAATTTTATGCATTTATATTGTTCAAAATATGACATCTAACAAGTTTGTCAAATTATTACAACCAGTATTGTCCATGCATAGCTAGTACCAATAATACTAACTTGTGTTAGCAAAGCCTGTTCACAGTGCTAGTTTACATACTGCTAGCAAAGCTGTACTAAAGTTCCTCCAGGGGGTTTAATCGTAAACAAATGAGCCAAATTGACTGGTATAAAATAAATGAGGATTCATGTCAATGAATTTCTGTGCAAGAGTTCACACTTGTCTTTGTTTTAGACTGGGGACAGTGAGTTGCGTGAGGAAAACTAAAAGTATCTCTGGCAGGGCCTTCCATCCAGTCATTGTTCTTCATATACAAACTAAAGTGAAACTTTCATGGTGGCATTACAGAGCCTGCTGGATGATCGCAAAAGTAAGCAGGTTTCAACTTGTGGGGAGCCTGAATGCCACGATGCAGTTTTATGGCAGTACATCAAACTGTTGCTGAGATAAATCAGTGTGGCGCAAAGCGGTCGACTGACCAACCAAACATCATTGCCATCCAGTGGGCTGCCGTTGTAGCTGTATAAATAAAAGTAACTTAAACATGCAGGCAGTACACGCTCTAGCTTTGTAACAAGTTGCTGGAGTTTAGTGGGCTGTTTTTTTATTTATTTATTTATTCTTGATCACACAGCAAAAGAATAAAAAGAATTTTATAGATAAAGACAATGAAAACAGCAGCGGGAAGACGGCTTGTTCCTCTAGATGCATGCAATCTGAGACGCAGATAGATAAATCCACTCTGGCCCGTATTAATTTTGCTGCTGGAATTTGCTCAAGTACATTCTGTGACTTGGGGAGAAGCCAAAACTCCAGCCCCGGCTCTCAGATCTCATGTTGCAACTGATGGCTTCAGGCCGAGCTTGCGCGGGCCATCACAAACAGGCTGAGGAACGAGTAGGAAAGAAAAGACTCGCCTGTGTCACGGTACACTGGAATAAATTCTATGAAGTCAGTCTGTGATCGCAGCATGAATTCCACTATCCTGGATCTGCTGATTATAGACGCCCAGCCCAGGTTGTGTGACATGTAATTTAAGTATTTCGTCTTCCTTAAAGCAAAAAGATCCCTGACGATTATGCAAGAGCTCAAACTGTCATGTGTGCCCTGCTCAAGTCGCCGCAGCGTACCTGACTTTTGTTGATACAGCTCTTCGTGCAAAGTCACATGAATGATGCAATGTGGACACAAGCAAAAGTGTTTGTATGTGTGGGTGGCGTTTGGTTGAGTTCGGGCAAGTGAATGCACAAAGTACACAATGCAGAGGTTATGAACAGGGTGGAATACCAATAAAAGAATATTATTTTCAGGACTTGTGGGAACGCTTGTGTTGCAACAATTAAATAAACAAACACAGTTATAAGTGAATACAGCTGAGTTGGAGTTTGAAATAGATTTTTGGGACCTGAACTGCTCCTTCAGAGCGCACGGGAGTCGTCTCCATGTGTGGCAAAATACAACGAGCGCAGTGATTAAAACCCTCGCGGCCTGGATTACAGTGAAATGAGAGGATGGTGTATGACTCGGCGATATTGTGGTCTCTGTGTAATGCTGCTAAATGTCGGGTGTACCGACAAACTGTGTACACTCTGAGCTCAGAAACGGAGGATACTGTCTTTAGGCCCGTCTACCTTTGTTACAATAACTCGAGTTCAGCTTCGTGTGTGACCAAGAAATGATATCAGTGTTAGCATTTTAGGCGTTGGCTCGATGTTCTGCAGGAAGTTGTGGTATAACACATTTTTTCATGTATTTATTTTCGGATTTCGCTGTCATCCATCTATGCATCGTTTCATTGTGGTAATAAAGTCAGCCTCTCTCTACATAGACTTTGAAAATGATTTGAATAGTACGAAAAGAGAGCAATGTTTTTTTTAAATTCCTTTTTACCCATAATTCAACTCGATCAGATGAACACTGATTTTAAAAAAATGTCATTAGTTTAGTAGTTTTGAGTTGCTAGAAGTGATCTATCAGATTTCTTTCTTTTTCCTGCTTGTGGTCTTCAGGACCAAATCAACCAAAATCATTCATTTGTTACCTCTTATCTGGATCCAGGTCATGGAGGTAGCAGATCCCACAGATGCCCTGACCTCCCTCTATCCAGCTTCTTCATCTAGCTCTTCTGGGAGCACCTGAAGGCATTCCCAAGCCAGCTGAAAGATTTAATCTCTCCAGTGTGTCCTGAGTGTGCTCCAGGGTCTTTGTTGGATGTGGTTGGTCTGAAACACCTCACCCAGGAGGCATTCAGATGTCTGATCTACCTCGTTGGCTGCGTTCTCCCTCTGTAAATGGGCACAGCAGTGATGGTGGAGGGGGTTTTGAGCCCTGTGATTCTTCTGCTGTTCTGTCAGGTTGTTGTAAAAGCTCCATGAAGGGTCTTTAGTTGATCCAAGTCAAGTTAGCTTTATTTGTAAAGCATGTTTAAAAGACATGTGGTCAAACTTGCAAACTTAGGGGATCGGCTGTCCACTCCCCTCCCTGGACTTTATTCCCAGCTCAAGATGTCTCTCCAGAGCCAGAGCAATTATATAGGACCACCTCCATCCTAACCACCACCTCTTCAACATCCTGCCCCTGGAAAAAGGTTCAGATGCATCAGGTGCAAAACCAACAGATTAAAGAACAGCTTCTTCCCGTGGGCTGTCAGAACTCTTAATGCAAACTAAGAGTGTGTAAAGACTTCCCCAACACATCCACTCTGACACTGCTGTTGATCATCTATGTGCAACATCTCAGTCTTTTCATGTTCTGTGCAATTCTTTTGGCTCATGTGCAATATTTTGGTCCCAGTAGAACTACCATCTCCACCCTAAATGACCATAGCCCTTCCACCCTTATTTATCTATTACATTATATAACTGCCCTTGTATACAGACCCACAATGTTTCTGTTTTAATGTTTCTTACACATACACCATGTAAATAGTTTCACTCACATATATGTATTCATATAAATTGCTTTTTTTTTTTAAATTTTATTTATTCCCCCCCTCGTTGTGTATCGGTTTCTCTTCTTTTTACTTTTGCACCTTTGTGCGCCAGCTACCCAATTTTGCTGTGCAAGAAGCTGCACATAGACTTAGAGCTTTTTATTGTCAAAGTCTAAACTTCCTGAAGGAAGTCATTAGCAATGATAAAGCCATACACTGCAACTGAATCAATTGTTAGATTAAAAATACTCTTTAGTGCATCTTTTCAAGAAAGAGCTTTAAATGCAGTGCAAATAGATTTCTAGAGTGCACCTCATAAGCAATCAGTAAAACAGAAAAAGCCTTGGTACATGTTGCAGTAATGGCTCCCACATGCTAACTACACGCAGTTCACATGGTGCTTGAATTTTGCCAATCATTACTGGCTGCTATATTTTTGGAAGTCATTTATCACTTGATGTGAACTTTGTGTCTTTTATAGCACAGTCAGTGCATCGCTGCTTGAAACGGCCAGACGGTGATTCACACTTAGTGCGTGTGAGGTTTGTTTTGTAGTTTCACAGCTCCTCAGAACACTCGTCAATCATTGATCTGAAAGTGCAGCAGAACATGTGCCACATGAAAGTTTCACATTCAACTGCATTGTTTTATTTTTAGTTCAGCAGACCGCAGGACTTTTTTTTAATGCAGTTCCGTCGAGCCACGTATGACTGTAGCAATTTCACTGGCCTAATTAGATGTGATGTCAGTTAGAAAAGGTAGAGTCATTGCAGAGGTCCTCTTGATTTTCCTTTGCTTCCTTTTGGATTTGCGGTCATATTTAGAGCTGCCAGTGGAGGGGAATGAGAATGGAAGGTCAAAAAGTAGAAAAAGCTGAGACCAAGTGGTTGAGAACAAATAAAAGAGGATGATGGGGGGGAGGAGAATGTTCTCCCTCTGTCAGGGCTCAGAAGAGTGACACGACCCCGGTGTGGTCCCACACGAAGCGCATTATTGAGTGTCTGAGAGGGATTTAAGGCCCAGGGCTTAGTGCAGATCAGGAGCTGATTCTGCGCCTGAGGAAAAAGCAGGACAGGAGTCTGTGCTGCCATCATGATTGCAGTGGCACATGGAAGCAGAGACACATTAAGGTCATCTCACATGAAAGCAGTACCTGAAATACTCTGAGACTTAACCTGAGCTGCCTGATCCCATCTGGGACAGAAAATGATGCTTCCAAACATGATATTTGAGTGTTATGAGCACCGATAGCCAGGGGTGGACTGTAAATACTGCAGAATACTTTTTGATGCATGCTCGGTCATCCAGGTAATAGTTGATTCTGCTCATCTTGATGCAGCGTATTCACTGGGAGAAAGGCTTTATCACTTATCCAAGTGACTTCTTCAGCCTCCCACTGAAAATGCTACATTCAGATGAACTGAATCAACTTCTGGAGTAAGTACAATATTAATAAGATAGTAATAGTAGATAATAGATAATAATAGTAATATAAGAGTTGTTTTCCTATATGAATGTCTTACAATGGCACCACTGCAGTTCACACTCCATTTTTTAATCCAAACGTAGCCACAGGACAGAAAAATAGGTTACCCGGTGTGGTGGTGAAGCTATGCTGTATTTAACTTTCAGGAATAATAGTTTTTTTATTCAGTAAACAGTCACAATATTTTATTTCCACTGTTACATAATCCTCATAAACATCAGTGTCCGAATTAAAAAACAACAACTCTTGTACAGAACTTTTTGGAACTTCTTGTCTAGTACTAGCAGCATGCCTCTGACTTTCTTTAGGTCCTGCTATGTGAAGGGAAAAGCCTAAATGAGCGTTATGTAAACACATTCCCTGCACGCACAGCCCAAACAGCCACAGCTGGCTGAACTTGCATAAGAGGCCCTGGCTCAGACTCTGTGTATGCCATCCGGGTTTGTAGATCACTGGAAATCTGCTTTAGCTCAGTCCTGTGTCACAGACACCAGCTGCATGGTGCTGCAACCGATGGATTAACATAAGTGCAGGATTGAGGCTGTTCTCAGGTCTTTGTCTGAATTTCTACGAACATTATTGCTAAGGATTGTCTTATTGCATTGGAGTCACACTGGGTTAAATATGTACACTTGGGTTTTAAGGGGTATTTATTATTTTCTTCTTTTTTTTGGGTTGTATGGAAGCCCCAAACGCAATTTCATTGTTCTTGACAATGACAATAAATAAATAAATACTAAATACTAAATACCCAGATAACGAGAATCAAAAGAGCCTTTCTGCCCTGGGTGATCATGACGCTTTTCTTAAGGGTTGTCTAAAGGTTATGAACTGGACTGTAACATGATCCTCACTGAGAAAGTTTTTTTGCCATTAAAACTTTGTTCAGTTCCCTTGAATGTCTTTGGACTGTGAGTGGAAAAATAAGCACATAGCTGATGGCACGCAGCGTGAGGTCTGCAAGAATCTCATTTGAAACTCAGTTTTTGTTCTTACTGCTTAGTAAACAGAAAGTTTTTGTAGCTCCTGTGGTTGTCGTTACATGCCTAATAATACTTTTATACTCCCACCCACAAGACACTGGGTGCGTAGCTTAGCATTTTTAAAGCAGAGTGAAACAGTTAGCACGGCTGTGTCCACAGATGCAAAACTACATTTACTGCATTTAAAAAAACAACAAAAAAACACAAAACAGTAAAATAATAAGAATTAAGTCTTCCACATTTCAACCGTTGTCGCTGTTTCACTAAAAGCCAACGACACCAACATCTTTTGTGAGAAGTTAGCCTCTTCCAGTGTCAGAGTTGCTACAACCACAGAAAAGTGCATGTCATTTTAGGCCATAAAATGTGTAGATATGCTGAGACTGCAGTGTGGTAGCTACTGAAAGTCATAAGAGGAAGAGATCTGTGTTAAACTGGAAAGAGACTCCACTGTAAATTATAATTACTTAGGCTTACTAAGAAAAAGCATGCAATCCAATTGGCTTATAACACGGTGTAACACTCTGTTACTTGTCCCCGCCCTCCACACATTCAAACACAAGGGAAGAGTTCGGAGTTGCGTTTTAGTGATTTTTTTATTCGCACACAGTCTCTGATCTGCTCCATGGTCAGCTCTCAGGCACAACTCTCCGCTCCAGGCCCCAGCAGCTACTGAGATAGGGGAATGGATGATTAGGTGATTAGTGCAATGGGAATCAGCTGTCAGCTAGCCTCCCCTAGCACAGACCCCTGGACCCATTGCTCCACCCCTCCCCTGCAGCTGAGCGACAAACCACACCTGACCACATACCGCCATCGCCTGACTTAGTCCGGCCTAGCCTACCCCCCAGGCAAGGACGAAAAGCGAGAGGAGAGAAAAGCGAAAGGTTGTTCCTTTGCTCCCATGTAGTCACCCTGGAACCAGCAACAATGGTCTTCTGGGGAGAGCCCCAGCCACTTTAGGATAGCCTGTGGAAATCCGTGAAAATGCCCCTTGACACTGGTGGCTCATTGCCCCATCCTGGAGGTGTTTGAGGCATGCCGGTGGCCTGCAGCTCTTCCAGCTGCCACCTGTGCACCACTGCCTGCTGCAATGAAAATATGCAACAGAGACTCAACTGCAGAATCCATAGGTTTTAAGCAAAAATACATAAAGCATAACTGACAGAGAAAAGTGAACAGGATAGGAGCAAAAACAACCTAACAGAAGGGTAATTGGGGAAGAGTGAGACACCTGGGAGACACAGCTGAACTAAATCAGACAAAACATGGGGAAGTAAAACTAAAACATGGCACCATAGATAAATGACTATCAGATGAAAGCAGAAAGTAACAAGACAGAAAAACACCTACCAGAGAGACTAAGACAAGGGTGTCGAACTCCAGGCCTCAAGGGCCGGTGTCCTGCAGGTTTTAGATCTCACCCTGGGTCAACACACCTGAATCAAATGATTACTTCATTAGCAGGCATCTGGAGAACTTCAAGACATGTTGAGGAGGTTATTTAGCCATTTGAATCAGCCGTGTTGGATCAAGGAGACATCTAAAACCTGCAGGACACCGGCCCTCGAGGCCTGGAGTTCGACACCTGTGGACTAAGACTTGATAACAGGATAAAGGAAACACAGGGGAGGCAAAATAAACTGGAAACTCAAGGACTTAAATATAACCTGCGCTGAAACTACAGAACTTAAAGCACAACAATTACAAGAATATAGAAAATAATAAATAAGAAAACTCTGACCAATAAAAAAAAAAAAAAAGCAAAACTTTGACCATAGCAGACCGTAACAGTTTAATAAAATTACAACCCAAGAGCTCACTTTGTTGCAGATTTTGTTCTTTCCCTGTTTTGCATTTGTTTTCAGCAGCTCTCCCCGTGCACTGCCTGTTCAACACAAGACAGCAGAGAGGCAGTTAAAACCTACCCAGGGACCAAAAACAGAGCTAACAGGACGGTAACAAATTGTGATTTATGAACAAATAGCACGTGTCTACAAATAAAAATCCAGATGTACAATAAAGCTGCTCTCTGTTTTTTAAATGTGCAATAAGGACGTGACACCTAAATAAGGAAGCGCTTTCTTACAAGTTTACCGTATCAGCGAGGAAGATGATGACATGTCAGCGTTGCTTTCTCAACTTGTTTCTGCTCCTTCACATTGGCAGTTACTGAAAATACGAAGTGTTACAGCGACAAAAAGCGGCTGAAAAATCCATAGTGAACCTTGAATGCATTTACACTTGTTTGATTTAATGCATTTATAACTACTGTGTGTTCTGTGCCAGTTACTGTTGTTGATCAAAACTTAAAAGAAACATTACTTCGTTTCACATATAAATGCAACTTCACATATGAATAAGAGAATTCACTGTGACTGAAGCTAATTTTCCAGCAGCTCTTACTTTTCATGAATATGAAGGAAAGGTCATGCACTAAGTACTAACTGAGCACAGCCAGGCACTGATTAGGGGGTAATGCACTTAAGTGGAGTAAAGTGCTCCGCAGTATAATTGGAATAGACTGGATTTGCCTCACTTGGTCTG